TTATAGATTCCAAAATGCCGATAAAAAACAGAAAGATGGAAGCGAAAAAATGTCATTTTAATTTGTAAATTTATGTCAGTTGACAAACTTACAACTGATAAATTCAATCAGATCAGTTTTTTAACGGGTTTTAATATATCTGAATCCAGTGATTAATAACATGTTAATTAGAGATTAAAACTTATGCCCAGCAAAAAATTATTAAAACTTTTTAGTAGTTTGAAATATTTGGGATGCTAATACTTCCTTAACCAATTTTAAAGCTTCTACTTTCAATACAAAAACCTTTAAAAAGACGAAAAATCTGTAAAAATATTTGAGAATCTTAATCGTGACTAATGCTCGATTAAGTTTGTATTTTATCAATTGGAGCTTTGCAAAAATTTACATTACACTCAAAACGTAAATTAGCTTGAAAATTTTTCTTCGAGCGAGTCTTGTCTTTGCAGTTTCAAGATTTTTCCATTCATGAATGAATTTTTTCTTGTCTCTTTAAATGAAAGAGTAAAGATTTCTTTTGTACGTCTATATTGTGTTGTGATAGTGATGAGATTTTATTGCTAAGAAAGATAACTAGTAAAATATGTGGTATTGTCTGTTTATTGTAATGGTTTTTTAAAGTCCAGGATTTTTTAATCTTGTTTAAATTAATAATGTCATTTTGTGACTAGCCAAAAAAAAATTTTTTTTTCATTGTGTTACTTAAAATCTCTAAAAATGTCCACTTCATGATAAATTCTTTTATAAAGAAAGCTCACTCCATTCAATGTCTCTTAAGCACCACAAGATGATGTTTGTCTTTTGAAGTTCAGATAGGTTCAGATATATAAAAATTCATTGTCCGGAATGGATTTTGAAGTGAAAATAGTTGAAAATTATTTTATTAAGCAAGTAGCAAATTGAACCCCTTTTATCAACCGAAAATTATAATGATGTGCGTAATAGTCATATATTGGGACTGAAGGAGTTCATTCACATTGTATTGGGTTTCTTTGTGTTTTTTTTCATGCAATAAGGAAGATGGGAATATTTCCATGTGTAGATTCTGATTCATACATATTTTCATCCCATTGACTTTCAGGATGCTCGCAATTATTTTAAAATTTCCATAAAAATTGACAATAAATTTAAATTGAATTCGGAAAATGGAAAAAGACCGTAAAAGAGTTTAGTAATATGTTTTGGTAGACAGCATTTACAAGCACATAAACCATATTACGATGACAATCACGGATGGAATGGACGTAAACATAATCATTTATTCATATTCATCTTATTCACTGTTGATACTTCATTCATGATGAAAATTTTGCACTGTCGATGGAAATTCTAAATAAATGGAGTAATCATACCCAAAATAACAGCGAGTAGCCTCCAAAGTAAATATTCCGTCCAGAGACAGCAATTCATCATGCTTTGATGAATTAAGAGCACTAAAAACTGACGGCATTTTGTTCATCTTATTCTTTTACACTCTGGATACTCAAACTCAATAATATTCACCGATGCCTTTTTTTATGTTTGCCACAATTTTTTTCTTTCTTTTCTCGCTCTTTCCATATCCCAGCATATACACGCAACGCTTTTTCCCCTAAAATGCTTTATTTTTATTGCGAGTTCTTTCTTACTTATACTTTTTTTCGTACACACAATATTTTTTGTGTTGATAGAGCGATTTTGGAGCAGTTTAATTTTCGGTAGCGAATCGAACGGACGTGTCTCGTGAAAGAATTCTGTAGCTCGATTTTTGTGTGTCTCTCATTTAATACTACATAAATAATTTTTGATGTTTAATAAAACATAGCAAAATCTTCTTTTTTTTTGAGATAAAATAAAGAGTGGATGAGAGTGTGTCACCCGAAAAAATATTTATTTTGGCAACAAATTTAATCAAAATTTACGAATGTTTATTTACATGTGCGAGAAAAATTATGACCCGGCAAAATATATTGATGTCCACAATTTTTTAGTGTGGAAAATGAAAAATATTAGAAAGATAACATAAAGTCATGTGTGTCATGACAAAAAGTGAAGTCTCGTGTATAATTCAAATTAGAAATAAAAATTTATAAATCAAATGTGAATTTCTCAATATTCTGAAGAATTAAGTCTTCAAAACGTGTACTTTATTGCTATATGCTAAAAAACATTTTTTTTGAGTTGCGTGAAATAAAGCTCGTGAATTTAAAGCACCTTGTGTGTGAAAAATTAAATTTCTGTTATCGCTTCCGTCTTCATCGATATTCATCATGTGATGAGTGATTTGATTTTTTAATTTTATCGTTATTGACATTATTGAATAATTGTGAAATTACTTTAGCTAAAAATATCAGACATCCAAAATATACTGTAAAGTTGTAACTTGAGCGCATATAAATTAAAATTTTAGGTACTGAAAAATATGTTTGTCATTAAAAAAGTGCAATCTCGATGATCTTTTGAAGAAACTGTTTAAAAATCGTGATAAATTTAATAAAAATCCTTGAGAAAGTTTCTCTTTATTTTTATTAAAAAGTGAGATTAAAGAAATTTTAAGATCTTTTTTCTTCATTATTAATCGGTTTTGATAAAAATTCAATAAGACATTTGAGGCTCATTATTGAGTGTTTTATAAAATTATGCTTGTAGTTATTTGCTGGTTTCAAATTGAAAAAAAAAAATAAATTTTGTACAATTCTTTTAAAAAGTTTTATACCAACTTTAATGTTTGGGAGACTCAATCTTAAGATTATCTTCAGAACCTTAGATACACTTCATTAGAACTTTTCACATTGCGTTTAAAAATTTATACGGTTAGTTTTAGTGTTCAAAGTTTTGATGCTTAACTTTTATTGTATTAAGTGTGAAAACAGCAACATTCTATAAAACAGAAATAAATATTGACCCTTGATTGGAGTGAGAAAACTTTTCCATCAATTTTTTTCGAGTTTCAATTATTATTTCTCCTGTCAAATACCTTTACTAATTAAATTTGTGTTGCACTAAATTAGAACTTTAAATTAATCAAAACATAAAGCAGCAACAAAAACTTCTAATAATGAATAAAATGAAGAAAAAATTATGCCATAAAATCGTGAATTTTATGATTAAAGTAAAGTTCATTTCTTTTACTGCTAAAGATGTCGAAATTGAGTCATTTCTCATGATAAAACATGAGTTTTACATCTTCCTCGTGTTGCTTTTATTTGAATGGAAAAATTATTCCTTTCTCGCCTTCGTTCCTTCTTATTGTGTTGAAGCACATAATTTTCATTCTTCTTAACATCAACATTATAATTGAGACCTACTAAAAGTATGTCAGTTTGTGAGTTAAGCGAATAATAAAGAAATAGTGTCATAAAATTAAGTCAATGGATTCAATTTATTTGTTAAAAAAAGTTTTTGACCAATCTGATAGAGTTCTTGTTCTGAGCCTTTCTGATTTAAATTATAATCCTATAGTGTTTTATGAAAAACTTATAATAACTAGTGTATCGGGTAGAAAACATATGCGGATTTAATTAGACCGTACCATCAAAAATCTTTTGTATAGACCAAGCTTTAGACTGAGCTTCGCTCGAAACAAAAACAGATTATTTTTTGAATATTCTCGACTTAAAAAATGTTCATCGAACATTTCCCATCACCAGACATCACGCATGTCGCTTAATTAAATGAAAACATAAATAATCTGCTGTGTAAAAGGAGAATCAATGTGACACCTTTATGTTATAATGAAAATGTTTTCAATAAATTTAAAAATCGTGATGGGGTCATGTATGTTAATTTATTTAAAAAGGAAAATATTTGGTGACATTCTTATTTTTATTATGTAATTAAATAGCAGTGAGTGAAAAATATAGTAATTTCATATCTGTATGGACGAAGGTATTAAATATATTTTATGATGATCGTGAAAGTTTAGTCGTCTGTAAAATTTTTTTATTTTTCGAATTTCTCATCAAAACCGCAAAGTTCTTATAAAAAAATCATTCGATAGCCATCTGCTTTTCTAATATATCAAAAATATTTCATCGGATTCATAAGAATTTTTCCGTATTCCTGCTCAATATGTGACGAAAAATACGTACTGGCAGATTTTTTTTGAGAATCATCCATAAATCTCTTATGATTCACCATAAAAAAACATGAAAATCTATTTTGCGATTATCCATAAAGATTGATGTCATGGCTTATACTCTCGTCATAATAAATTTAAGCTAATTTGAAGAGGATTTTTCATTCTATAAGTTATCGCATGTGTGAAAATCAGGAAATGTCCACTTTTCTTAGGAGGAATTTATTGAGCAAAGCTGAAAGAATTTGCGTTTTTCTGGTTTTGATTAATTTTTGTTTATAAATATGAAATCATGTTTGCGTCTGTTTGAAGTTGTCACAATTTTTCTTTTTCTGAGAAAACTAGAAGCGTTAAACTAGGAACTCTTTATAATTTCTCGTTTCTTACATTTTAATGACTGTAAAAATAATGAATTTGAATGTATCGACCAACAATTTATAAAGATCACGAAAACGTTAATAAACCACAACTCAATCAGCAATAATTTTCAATTTCCGCCTCTGAAATTACTTTCAAATCATCGTCATCGTTGTTGCGAAAAGATCGCTACCTGATTAAGAAAATTGATTCAATTTCAACACAATAATCTTGTGTAAATGAAGTGCGATCAGAAAGGTATTTTATTTTCATTAATAAGCACCACATGAGACGAAAATGTTGATTATGGTGATTAAGTGCGAAAAGATTCACAAGATGCTTTATTCAGTATTAGACATTTTCAATTTAGAAATTGAAACATTTGTTTCTCTTGACAGCTTACAGTCTGTTATTTCTTTGCGCTTTACTTAGGACATAAGATAAATAAATGAACAATGAATTAGACAGGAATGAATGGTAATAGTAAGAAGTAGTTTGACTAACCACGCGCTCTTTTTGACGTTTTAATAAAAAAAATATTTACAGTCTACAAAGAAAATCAAATAATTTAAAATTAACCCCATAAGAAAGTTTCTTTGACGAACATAAAGACATATTTATTGATGAAAACTCTCATTGACTTAGGTCAAATAAGTAATTGTGTACAGTGAAAATAAATTAGCAAAAATAAGCCAATACAATGAGTTCGATTAAATTGATAACATTTGGAAGTAGGAAGAACAAAAAATGAATTTTTTATTGAACAAACGCATAAATCAAGGAAGTGGACAAAATGTTAGCAACGATAGTACGGATACTACTGTGAGACATGATTTTTTATTTGGGTTAGAAGATTCTGGCATTGCAACAAGCAATGATGTCCATTCATTGGAATTTGATGATCAATTGCCGACAACACCTACCTTAGGAGGTCATCATCATACCCACCTACCAACGCTTCATCATCATCATCATCATTCTCACATCCAACATAGTAATAAACATGCATTGGATAAAATTGGAAAGCTTGGAGTGCTTGAAAAGAGCAAAGCCACAAGCAGTATTCCAAGTCTTTCAATCAACAGCAACGCAACAATCAACATTCATTATTATCCAGAAGAATCAATTTTTTGGAGTTATGTCATTGTATTCATAAGTACAACAGTTCAAATTTTGATACATGGCCTTCAGTTATCCTTTGGAATGTTTTTCATTTGCGCCAAAATATTCTTCAAAGATAATCATACGGAATTAATGACTTATGGTAATATTGAACTTGTAATTGAGATGATAACTTTTGTATTTTAGTCCATTCTCCATACTATCAATTTTGTGATGACGTAGATATTTTAATTCCGACTGAATGATTTTTTGTGGCTGGATTTTAGGGTTGTTATATTCCGAATCTGCATTAGAACATAAATCAAAGATATCTCTGTGACACTGAATATCGATTTCATTTCCAAAAAATGCCATTAAACTTTGGAATGCTTTTTCCATTTAAAAAGGGAGCTAGTTTTACTACTCGTGGCTTTAGATTATTTTTCTTTATTCATTATTAGTTAAGAAGTTGATTGCAATTTTTAACGTACAGGGAACTGACAATAACCATTAATTTATTCTCCTGATAAGCAGCATTCATGAGATTCTTAAATTCAAGCTCATTTTCAATTAACAATCTCATGCTGCTACTTAAGCTCTATTTAATAGCAAGTTATAAGATATAAAGTCGCCAATGCCTTATTATCATTCTTAAGAAAAATAAATGCACCTTCATTGAATGATTATAATTGAATTCACAATTGCATGTCTGATAAAAGGATACATGAAATATTCTGCACGATTAAGTCGAGACTCAATGAAGAAAGAACATCCAATAGCTCGTACCGAGACAAACATAAATTGCATTTATGATACTTTAATGTAAATATTATTATCCATTTAAAACTGCACGTTTATGCTGCAGCAATGGAATTTCACATATTATTTTCTCATTGTCACTTAAGATTTTTCTCTCTTTTATCAAAATACATGTATCATTGTTATTATCGTGCAGAACAATGGCAATGACAATCGAATGAAAAATAATATAAACGCAGTTATGGAAATTTTTCACATTAAAATCCATCGATAACGATTATAGCTTTAGAAAGAGCGAACGAATTTCATTAATTTGTAATAATTTTTTATGATATTTCATTGAATTTAAATCTTTATGGGCCGAGTTGCATATGATTTTGGTAACTATATGCTCGGTTTACTTTTGAAAAATTGATTCTGAGTATACCAACAACAAAGTGTGTATTATGTATTATATCCTTAGGTGAATTTTGTTGTCCTTATAAGAATAATCTGTTAAATTTCAATTTCTGATCTCTCAGCATTTTGCGACATCCTAGACTTCACAAGGAAGATTACAGAACCAATTGTAACAAAATAAAAAAAACACATAATCAACTGTCCAGAGTAGCTCGGGACTCTATAAAAAGAAGAAAATAGCTGCAAAGAAATAACTGGATAATTAATAATTTCCCTTCATGCCGCCTGGCTATTATTAAGCCTTTCTTTAGGGCATTTACTCATTTTTTATTGATTCATATCATTTTGCTGTGTCCCCTTTTATCTGCTCCTCGAACTCCTTACATTATTTTAACAAGCATATAAAAGCAATCAACAAAAGGCGACAGAAATGAAAAATTGATGTAAAGGACGAATTAAAAAATAAGTTTAGACTCAGTTTGAGGTCGTTGAAGTCTATAATGTCAGGACAATGAGTGATGTGCCTATTATTATTTTAATTGTTGGCATTAATTAAGTTATTATGAAGGTTTCTTTATGTTAAAAATAATAATAATAAAAATGTAATAATTTCTATTGTTTTGGAATAAAGGAAGCAGCTTTATTGTGTGACAAAAGAAAGTGTCGTCTAAAACTTTTTTCCATTCTCACATTTTTAATTTATTGTGCTTTTATTTCATTTTTCTGGCAAGACAAAAACTGTAACTTAGGATCACTTCCTTTTATCCACAAGCTGAAAGTTACATTATTCTCAGTAATTATAAACAGACAATCCACAACATCCCTTAAAAATAATCTTGAGCAAAAACGTGTATCTCGATATGCTAACAACAAACAGCGAAAGTAAATTGATAAATTCTCAGAAACAATGATTCAATGAACCTTAAAGCTGTAAACTTTTCAGCTTCTTTTGTTTTAAAAAAGTTGTTTCTATTTTCAAACATAAAAAAATGAAGATAAATAAGTAAACAAATTGGGAAGGAAATATGGCAAATTGTGACTGGCACTTAAGAAATATAGATTCAATTACTCAGTTCTTATTGTTGATCCATTAAAAGGATTAAAACTGGAAATATATATTATAATTTTCAGACAAGTTTAATACACATGCCATAAATTCAGCACATTTTGACAATGGCACACGATACATATTTAATTTTTTAAAGCAAGACTTGTCATAGCACGCAAAATGAAAAATGATAATTAATGAATATTTTCCTACTCTTTATTTTCAGGCTGGCTTGGTGCACTTTCGACGGCAGTTGCTTTATTTATTTCACCGCTAACAATTGGTGTGTGTAAGAGAAAATCAACGAGAATTACGGCTGTTATTGGTGGTCTTGTGACGTGAGTCGTATTAATCTTGAATATCTTGAAAATGTTTAACAGCTTTAATTCTTTTTATTATTATACTTTAGTGCATTAGGATGTTTGTTCACTTCATTTGCATCTCAATTCCACCAAATGTTCTTCAGTTATGGAGCTGTAGTGGGAATTGGTGTCGGCATGTGTCGAGACTGTTCAACATTAATGATCGCTCAGTATTTCAAGAGAAAACGTGAATTTGTTGAGATTTTTATTGTGTCTGGAAGTGGTGCTGGAATTGCCTTGATGTCTACATTTATTAAAAGTGCCATTGATGGAGTCGGGTGGAGGTACTCGTTATTTGAAAACTATTAAAATATTCTAAAATTTAAATGCTTGACATGAGTACAACTGCTTTAAACGTTAACTTGGTAGATATCATACCAAAAATCCTATGAAGAATGAGCAAGAAAGCACCTACCCTAATAATATAAAGTAATTATTTCAAAATCATATTTCTCAAACAGATTGGGTCTTCAAGCTGTTACCATTTGTGTATTTAGCACTTTTATACTCGGCACATGCTATCGGTCTGCATCTCTATATCATCCACAAAGACGTGCCATTTTGCATTTAAAAAATCAAAAACGTAAAATTAAGGACAAGACGAAGCAGTTTGAGAGTCCACCGTTCTTCGATTTTTCAACGTTGAAGAGCAAGACTGTCCGCATTTTATTGCTATCGTCAGCAATTACGTGAGTTGGATAAATTGAACTTTATTCTTAGAAAAGGATAAAAACTTTTTGCACATTCATATTTATTTTATATAGTGCATTTGGAATCAATACGCCACTGTTTTATCTAGCACATCAAATAACACTTGATGGTCTAACGGACGAAGTTTTGATGTTGCAAGTTTATCTTGGCTGCTCATGGGTATGACTATCGATAATTCTGTTACTCAATATCTAAATCGAGTTTTTTTAAAGGTACTTGGATGTGTGATATTCGGTCTTTTAGTTGTAAAAAATAGTGTTGAATGTCGAATAGCAAGACAATATTTATGTCAGACAGCAATGATTATGTGTGGATTAACAATGCTCTCACTGACAACTATCCGAGGAAACTATCATGCCTATCTGCTGTTTGTTTGGATTTATGGTGTGCTCAGAATGATTAATATTCTTCACATTGGTTGAAATTTTCTTTTATCTTATCATTACAGGCATATTTCTTGGTGGCTATCACTACTCACTTAAGATGTTCACATTCGAAAAGGTTCGAGCACGAAATTTCGCTCGTGCATGGGGATTTGTGCAATTTTCACAGGTAATAAACTATTCAGGATGCGATTGAAGTTTTTGACATTTTTGCTTTAATTTTTTGGACGTTTATTCAGGCACTACCGATAGCATTAGGAGTTCCATTAGCAGGCTATTTGAATCTCAATTATCCTGGACAAGTTGGGTATTATATGTGCTCTGGATGTTGTATTGTTGGAAGTCTTACTTTATTCCTTGTTGATGTACATAAGAGAAATATAAGGCTACACAAGGAAAAAAGTACCAAGTAAGTTTTTGTTCCAAAAATTTAAAAGCTCTTTTAAAAATTGCATAAAATTCAAATTCAAAATTTCCGTTAAACTTTCTTTAAACAGGGAAAATGGAAGTCACACATGTAGCCAAACATGCCAGAAACGTAAATTATCATTCGATAATGAACAAGATAATGAGCCTGCATTGCAAGGAACAGCAGCTTTAATATTAGGAACAGAATTACTTGTGCCACACATCAATGATGTTTTAATGAATGCTGTGAATGGAATTGAAAAGCCTGAATTGACGTGCATTTCTGAGGAAGGAATAGCTGATATGGATTATTTTCCTGAAAATTTACTAGATGAATTTGATTTTAATAACCTTGAAGATAATGATGACGACGACATCACATCCTGCAATAAAATTAAATATTCATTGAGTGAAATGGAAAATGGAATTGGCATTGATGGAAAGAAAATCAAACGTGGAGCAACGATAAGAAATAACAATAAAAATTTTTTAACCCTTACATCACAAGTGATTCCCGAGCTTTCACATGAATCTCAAGACGAGGAAAAAAGTATACTCATAAATGGACATCATGTCGATTGCAACCTCAATAAGCATTTAAGGAACAATTCAGAACAAACTTACACTGCCCCAACATTTCCCGTAGCTAATAATCGAATGATTTCTGTGATTGAAGAGGCTGCGGTGTAATTAAACATTTGATGGATTTGACACTGTTCTTAAAGAGCAGTTTGACAAGACTGTACCTGATATACCGTATATAATTATTATAAATTAGAAATTAAATCTTTAAGTTCACTTCCTTTAAAGTTTTCATATAACGTAGAAAATTCATAACTTGTGTCGTGTGACGAAATCAATTTCCATAATCCTAACGTATTTCCAATAACATAGCATATTATAGACGAAAATTTCTTACGAATTGAAAAGTATTTCAATTAAAACAGTCAAAGATTAAAAAGAATTTGATATTATACTAAAATTAATTATAACTAGTAGACGATAATAGAGTAGGGAAGTCATTTATATACGAGTTGATGACATTTATACATTTACAAAATTGAAATTTATTGAGATTTGCGGAACTGATGAGATTGAATGATAAATAATTTTGTAGGATGAGACTATTCTTATATGATATCAAAGTAACTTCTGTGGAAGTTGATAAAATAATAATAAAATAGGAAAATTTCACGCAATCTGGATGTTTTCTTTTCTTTTTTGTTCCTTGTTACTTTATTCAAATTCTTTACAGAATCACTTGCCATACGTTAAACAATAATCAAATGAGAATGGAATTAGTTGTATTGTGGTTTTGACCATTCAGCCTTCAAAATCAAGTGATCATATCCAAAACCGTCAAGTGTCTCAATAGCAGCGGCTGCATCTTCCTTACTATAGAAATGAACGTAGGCGAATCCTTTACAAAGTCCAGTATTTTTATCCTTTGCCAAATACATTTTTGATTTCTTTCCAAATTTGTTCGTGAGCTCTTCCAAATCAGCATCACTGGTTGCCTCGGATAGATTGGATATACGAATCGCTGTTGTGTCATCTCTGCCTTTGTTGCCTGCATTTTTCTGTTGATCTTTGATGAATGGTGGAACATATTTTCCTGGTTTTGATGATGTTGTCTCGGCAGCTGATGCCGATGCTTGTGGCTTAGTATCAAGAATCTTCTCAATATATGCTGCAGTATGACGATATGGACAATTTGTTGTAAAATGTCCACCGTTACAGAAACGACACTTGGCGAATTGATCTGGAAGTTAATTTTAACATTAATAAATTGATTGCTGGATGTTTAATTGAGAGTACTTACTTTTAGGATCAACAACAGCATCATTAGATTTCTCTTCCTCCTTATTAGTGATTAATTGCATATTAATGTCTTCAGAAACAAATGTTGTTTGTGAGTTTGGACCAGGTTCGTCGTTTGCAGAATCACCAAATTTATGCAGGAGCCTTCTACTGGCTACACTCTTTGATACGACATGTTTCTGTAATTTATAGGTTCGAACAACTTTGACTTTCTTGTCATCCTTATTAATCTTATATTCCGTAACAGTTTTAACTCCATGCTCATCAATATCTTCCGTTGGTGGAGGTAAAGATCCCGATTCTAATTCGATTTCATCAGCCCAGGATGACTTATATTCATCTAATGCTGGCATTTTCTCCTACAAAAAAAAGTTCCACATTGACAAAATTTTCTCACAATTTTAAGCAATAAATATGTTAATTCCATGCATTTAAACATGATTAATACTTTTTATGGCTTCTAAACTATTATCAAAACTTACAATTGATTACAAATTAAGTTTCTAAACTATAGATTTTTGAGAAAAATTATATTAGTAAATATTTCGCGTGAAAATAAACTTAACGAAAGTTTACTAATACGACATCTTCTGCTAAATCCTGAATTCAAGATTTTTTGAATATTTTTGTAAACATTCGTTAAACATTTAACGAAAATAGGAATCCTCTCTTTTATCCAAAAGATTATTGTCCAATATACATGTACAGACTCTTTCTTGATGTATCTAATGATTCTGTCCATAAATTACTTAAAACAACCAAGGTAGTAATAAAAGTTTTAATCTTCAAATTAGATAAATCTTTAAATTTCATCAATTAAAGCAAAACAAAACATGTAAAATGTGACACATATACTCGTTGGGCAATATAGACTGCATACTTCTCAGAGAAACATGTGGGAATCTGTGCAAGTATTGGTATTTTAGTGTTTCTCACGTATAAGCAAACTTCAAGCAAGCAGATAAAAATTAAGAAAAAACTATTTAATTTATTTAAGTCAGGGAGCAAAATATCATTAAGATTTGAATTTATTCGATAAGTATCAATTGAAAGTTCATTGTGATCATCGAAGGTTTTGTGATAGGAGCTGTGGCGAACTAAAATAGACGATTTATAAAATTTGGTAAATATCTTTTCAACTTTCCTCTTAAAAACTTACATAAATCCACAAATAATTCATAAAAGGATTTTTGAGCTGATACAACTAAGACAATAGGTAGGGAATTGAGAAAATGCCGAGCATAGCCTACTCTTGACATTAATACATATTATGTAAAAGTATACATACTGATTTCCTAATAATATGCCACTTTCATTAACATAAATTCATGGTGATTTACAAGGTTAATTCAAAGAGATAACTTAATGACACATATAGCATTATCAATATTCCGGTTCTTTCTGCGTCATAAATTCGTTTTTATTGTCTTTAATTTACAAAATGTTTCGTTCTTTTCTTTTTCGTCACAGAATCAAGGCACTAGAAACAAGGGAGATTAAATGGAAGCAAATGACGATTTAACAAACGGAAATGGAGGAGTTGTTGTTGTAAAGGCAAAACCAACACGAAAAGTATTTAAAGGTGCTACAAAGACATTCAATAAAATACCAAATTCGATACTAAACGATGAGTTGCTTAACAAAGCAATATCTGCTCTGCCGAGCAATTATAATTTCGAAATCCACAAGACAATACACAAGATCCGAGAGACAAAGGCTAAGCGAGTAGCTTTACAACTTCCAGAAGGCTTATTAATGTTTGCATGTCCAATTTCTGATATCATTCAAAAGTTCACTGACGCTGATACAATCATAATGGGTAATTTGATGCTATAAATTAAGTTCATATCATTTTAAACTCATTATTTACTTAATAATCTAGGCGATGTGACTTATGGTGCATGTTGTGTCGATGATTATACAGCCGGTGCTTTAGGATCTGATCTCTTGATTCATTATGGACACAGTTGTCTAGTTCCAATTGATCAAATGGATGGAATTAAAGTATTGTACGTTTTTGTTGACATCAAGATTGACTCACTTCATTTTGTCGATACAATAAAACTGAATATTACCGCAGGAAGGAAACTTGCTTTAGTTAGTACAATACAGTTCGTTGCCACGCTACACAGTGTAGCTAATGATTTGCGCGAAGCTGGATTTGCTGTTTCAATACCTCAAACTAAGCCACTTAGTCCTGGAGAAGTGAGTACTGACTGTTCTTGATTATTCTTATTACTTATGACGTACATTTACTTGCAGATTTTGGGTTGTACAGCTCCTCGTATAGCAGAAGACGCAACCCTTATCTATCTTGGTGATGGGCGATTTCATTTAGAAGCCGCTATGATAGCCAATCCAAAAGCTGAAGCATACAAATACGATCCATACGATAAGAAATTTACTCAGGAATATTACGATCATGAAGCAATGAGAAAGGGTCGCAAAATGGCGATTGATAAGGCAAGACGAGCAAAGAGATTTGGTTTGATTCTCGGAACTCTTGGTCGACAGGGTTCAACAAAAGTTTTAACCTACCTTCAAGAAAGATTAAAAATGCATGGACGTGAAAGTTCTGTAATTCTGTTGTCAGAAATCTTTCCAAGTAAATTAGAATTATTTAAAGAAATTGATGCATTTGTACAAATTGCATGTCCTCGATTATCAATTGATTGGGGTACAGCATTCTCCAAGCCACTTTTAACACCATATGAGTTGTCTGTAACTTTGGGTGATATTCAATGGAGAATCGACGATGCACCAAGCGAAAAGGATAAAGGTTTAAACTATCCAATGGACTTTTATGCTACATACTCGCTTGGAAATTGGACTCCAAATTACAAGCCTAAGCCAGCTGATATTTCGTGTGAGAATGCGCTTAATGGTGGCTGTTGTGGTCGGTGCTTAGATGAGTTTGAAGAGAAAAAGAAAACAGGCGAGGAACCCGAGATGAAAATAGAATTATAAGTTACCTAATTAGCTGTTTAAAATTAAATTAAATTTGATGTGAAATAACTTTTAAAAAGGTAGAGAAGAATCACATCTATAATGATACGAGGAATCTTGCTTTAAAAATTTTTGATTTTATTTTATTTTTATCTTTAATTTATTAGTGAATAACTTGTATTGAAGTTTATAGAATTTCCATAAAATTAAATCAAGACGTGAATAAAGATTTGCATTAAAAATGTCAATCAGCAATACTTTTGTTATGAATTAGAAGAAACAAATAGATAGTTAAGATCAACAAATTGACTCGATCTACTCTCGTTTTAATCAATTCAGATCGTAAGCAACGTAGATAAGCCAATTGAACTTTGGTATCAAAACAATAATCTGTAGACGTAAAAGTCTTAACTGATTCTTACTATGCATAAAAAACAGCTACATTTTTGAGATTTATTTCGTACCAAAAATCATAATTGCACACAGGGTTGTTAAAACATATTCTATTTTACAGAATATGTACACATATCCAACACATTTTGAATGTTCACGTGTACAATGTGTAGCAGAATTCATATTTTGGCAGATAATATATGTCACACATTGCATATGTGCACATATTTTATGTGTGATTTGTGCACACATTTGATGTGTGACACATTATTTTGTGTCACATATGAACATGTGTGATGTGTGACACATATTTATGTGTGTAGATATCATGTGCAAAATCTGCACATATTTATTAATTTGCCGGACTAAAGTGATATTTTTTTGTGAAATTTATTTAAAAAATTATTGATATTTAACCAAAACAGTCAAATACTGCACAAAAGAGGTAATTTGTCGAAAATATGTTCATTAAACTGTAATTTTAAACTAATTTGACTTTATTTTCGGAAAAATTGATTTACAAGTGATTAAGGGACACGAGTTTTACTATTAAAGATTTGATCATAACTGATGCTCATCATTCTTAGTTTAATCTTCATTTCTCCAAAATTAATAAATATGTGCAGATTTTGCATGTTTACACATGATATCTACACACATAAATATGTGTCACACATCACACATAAAATATGTGCACATATGCAATGTGTGACATATATTATCTGCCAACATATGAATTCTGACACACATTGTACTCGTGAACATATTTTTAAAAAAGGCCAGATTCTATTTTTAACCACCCTGATTGCACAGACAAAAAAAACCCATACTTAAAAAACTACAAATTATTACATTATATTGACCTAATAAAATCAAATCTAAAATGGAAGAGAAAACGATGGAAGTATCAAATGACGAGTGTTAAAAAGACTTAAATTTAAGATCTGGAAGCAGGCAACGAGTTGAAAACGTCATCAAATGTCTTGTACCAAAATGAATTTTCTTTAAAAATCATTCGAGTTAAAAATCTCATCTCAGACTTTTTACTGATCCCATGCAGATGAAGATGTCTCACAGAATTGAATGGTGCTATGTGAAATCCAAGAGAGATATCTGCTAAATCAGTCTGATCATTTTTCTCCATAAGATCCAGCATATACCTTTTCATATTCATAACTAGAATAGAGTGAGAATCAACATAATTTGATAAGAAAACGAATAGCTGTTTATCTTACGCATAGGTTTATCATCTATAGTCAGTGAACTAGTGTTCATTATGTGTGTTTTAGGAATGATTAGGAAGTGGAAAGAAGAAGCTGGTTTAATATCATTAAAGGCAACAAAGTCGTCATTTTCAAAGAGAATTTTAGTGTCTGTTTTCTTATTAATGATATCACAGAATATACAGGACATTTTCTTCTCACCGCGTATCCAATAAACCGAAATAGCTGCAATAAGCACAGTAAAATTGAAAATAACAAAAAGTATGTTCATTTCAGTTTAGTTCAGTTCATCTATTCAGTAAATCCCAGTTAAAATGTTTGTTTTTGTTCAGTTCAAAAATAAAAAATAGAGAATTCTAAAAATAATCAAATTGTTCTTAATTAAAGATCAATGGATTCTCTAAAGGCACCTAGTTTGACATCTTTAATATCTGGAACAGATCGCGGTTCAAGTGATTCCCTTTTAGGATCATTAAATTTGGATTTAGATGAGGTTTGCGAATAATTTAAAAATTCAAAATTTTCTTATCAATATTTTGCCATAATTCCATTGTTTTGTAAATTAAAACAGATAGACGATGACTTATCAATTCTGCCAGTTGCCGAACTTCCATCCTTAGATGCTATTATGAATGAAATAGATAGTGATTTAGATATTGACAGTATAAATAGTAGTAATATATTAGCAGATAATAAGAGAACTAGCTACACACCTACATTTAATGACGAAAAACACCAATCTGGATCGATTTTGAGGCATGTAATCTTTCAGGGTGTGACTGCACAAATTTCATCGGCTTCAGTAAGGCGTATCAGTAAATTATTAAATTTCATAATTTTTAATTACTATCAATTTACATCATACTTTTAAAGGAACGAATTGAGGCTGGATATGCTTCGGCAGTTTGCGTATCTCGTATGATTGCCATTGGTACATCTCATGGATTCATTCTTAGTTTTGATGGAGGTCAGACACTAAAGTGGTGTTGTTCAGAAGGCCAAAAAAAGCATCAAGGAGCTGTTTCTGCACTTTCATTCAATGTCGACGATACACGTCTACTTGCTGGATTTTCGAGGGGTGCTATTCTAATGATTAACACACAGACTGGTGACGTTTTAAGGACTTTGTTGGATGCAATATCACCAAATGCTGGAGTTTTAGCTATTAAATGGACATCCAGGCCAACATTAGCTCTCTCACTTGATACTGGCGGTTGTGTGTGGAGTTTGTCTTTCACAAGACGAATGGGAGTTAGAGGATGTGATTCAAGATGTTTATTTAGTGGTGCTAGAGGTGAAGTCTGCACATTTGAGCCATTAATAGTTAATGACGAGTCACATCCATTCCAAAATAATTACACATTAGTTGCTTTAGCGACTTTAAGTAAATTTTTCATCCTTATGATCCGACCACGATTAAAAGTCATCAAATATCACATGTTGTCTGGTCCGGCAGATAGTTTACCATTGTTATCATGGCAAATGGTTCTCATTCAATCAGCAGATTCTAGTCGAAGCGTAGATCCAGTTCTTGCAACAGCTCGTGGATCATCACTTTATTTCCATCAACTCACTTATCATAATGGCCGTATTAATGTCACTTTCCTTCGTCAAATAACATTAGGATATAATATAGTATCACTCCACTGGCTAGGGTCTAAAAATATCGCATGCATTGAACGAGATACAGAAACTCTTCATTTGATCGATGTTCGGACAAATCGTGAGCTTGAATCAACTGATTTGTCAAGTTTAGGCATTATTTATTCTTCTGCTCAATTTAAAGGCATAGCAACGGGCGGAAATGTCTCTAAAGGTAAGGACTTGTTACTAAAAAATGCTTTTAAAAGTCAAAATTGATTTTTTGCATTAAATTTCTTAATTGTAGCTTTGGCATTAGCTGGAACTTTTGCATGCTACAGCACGATAGTCTCAAATGATTACAACTCGACACTTTATATATTAGGAAAGAAGAGTTTGCATGGAATAAGCGTTAGAAGTTGGAGTGACCGATTATCGTATTTAACAGCAAAGAAGCAATGGGCAGAAGCCTTTGATTTAGCAATTGATGGATATGAAAGTACTGTTAATAAACCACGTAGACACATAATAACAAAAGAGCGTATTTTGCAGCTATTTGATGATTATTTAAATGGAACCAATAGGTGTCCAGAACTTTATTTAGAAAGTGCTATTAAGTGTCTAATTGTGATTGATCGTCATGATTTGTTATGGCAAGAATTGTGGGATCGATTATATTCACAAGAAGTCTACTTGAATATTTTAACGCAACATATATTAAATGACAAGTTAACATTAATATCTCCAACTGTTTCGCAAGCCTTATTGGATTATTGGTCGAAAAGTTCTATCGAGAAATTGGAAGCACTAATTTTAAAATTAGAATGGCCTTGCCTTGATTTACATCAAGCCCTCAGCTTAGTCAAGAACTTTCAACTCTATAAAGCTCTAATGCATTTAAATACAAAGGCATTGAACGACTATGCTATGTCACTTGTTGAACTTATTCCCCTAATTAATGAAAATAATGAATTTGGCGATAGAACTTTAGGCAATAACATTTTGGTTTACATTTCAAGTTGCCTTGCTGGACGAGGGTATCCGACGGGGGAAATTCCTGAAAATATGCTGTCTAATGTTAAGCATGAGGTGATTTTTGTGCATTTATGATCTTATGACTTTTTTCTACTGTTGATTTCTTAGATTATGAGGATTCTTACTGCCCAACATTCAAAAGATGGAACTGATAATGAACTGCCATATCCATATTTGCGAGAGCTGTTGAAATTTGATACTCGAGAAACTTTGAATGTGCTTTCATTAGCATTTATGGAGAGAGAATTTAGTACAGAATTGGGTTTTTCACAACGTCAAAGAATTATCAATATTTTACTGGACATAATCAAAGCTGACGATAAAGATGTGAGCAGAAAAATTATTAATGTTTTAAAGCAATACAAATGTTTAGGAAATAATTTGTATGGATTTCTATAATTGCAATGGTTTTGTAAATTTTGAACGACAAAATCATAACATTTGTATTGTTTTCAAATTCAAAAGTTAAACTAGTGTATCGGGTAGAAACCCAATGCGGATTATATTCACACCGTACTATCATAAGTCTTATGAATAGACCAAGATTTGCCCATCATAAGTATGAAGGTATGAAGCTTGATAAGTCAACTAAGCTTCGCTCAGCATAAGTTTGAAGTTATAAAGCTATCGCGTAAGCTGAGCTACGCTCAGCATAAGTTTGAAGATATGAAGCTAGAGAGGCAGCTGAGCTTCGCTCAGCATAAGTTTGAAGTTATAAAGCTATCGCGTAAGCTGAGCTACGCTCAGCATAAGTTTGAAGATATAAAGCTAGAGTGTCAGCTGAGCTACGCTCAGCATAAGTTTGAAGATATGAAGCTAGAGAGGCAGTGGAGCTTTGCTCAGCATAAGTTTAAAGATATAAAGCTAGAGTGTCAGCTGAGCTACGCTCAGCATAAGTTTGAAGATATGAAATTAGAGAGGCAGTGGAGCTTCGCTCAGCATAAGTTGAAGTTATAAAGCTATCGCGTAAGCTGAGCTACGCTCAGCATAAGTTTGAAGATATAAAGCTATCGAGTCAGCTGAGCTACGCTCAGCATAAGTTTGAAGGTATAAAGCTTGACGAATATGCCAAATATTCTTTAAAAGTTTTTTAAAAAAAATTTTCATCCAAAGTTGAATTTTATAAAAATCACAGTCAACTTTTGTTTTAAAAAATTCGTAAGAAAGGAAAGTTTTTAGCCATTTCTGAAGCAACGGCTGTTCCTACCTTGCCCAAAAACAATACAGCTCTTCTATAGAGCAGCACGGATCAAATGTAAAAAACTAGAAGTCTCTACGATGTCTCGTTATTGAGATTTCTTGCTGATTAACTTGCTTGCTTGTTTGCTTACAGAAAGCGTAATTTGCGATTTTCTCAGCAATGCCACAACCAATTTGAAATCTGTTTTTTGAAAATGATGTAAAATTTCAGGCACAAACTTTTCTTCTTGCCCTTTTATAACCAATTTTGCTTTGTTTTCTCACAAAATGCGAAAAACTGATTTTTCAATCTGAACAAAACCAATAGATTCACACGTGAAAACGGTGTGAATATAAAAAGGCTAAATTATATCATTTTAGGACAATCAAAAGTTTGGCATATTATGCAATTTTATGTCTCAACAAATTACAACACAACATTTACCTGATTCTGCAACATATCTAACACAAATTATTAACTACATCACAAGAGAAGATGCTCTTCAAATAACATCAAGACAGCACATTGAAAAAGAACAAACTTTTATGAATCTATTAGAAACAAACACTTTGACCAGTAGATTTACGTTTGAGGAAATGCTAGAAATTGCTAATGCGACAAAATGCTATTCAGTAGCTAGATATATTTTGGAGAAATTAAAGAAATATGAGAAGATAGTTGAGACATTTGTATTGAGCAAAAATGACCATGAACTGTTTAGATATATTATGGAATATAAGAATTGTGACGACAGGAAGATCTTCCAACAAATCCTTCAACACTTTCAGTCGCTTCTTGAAATGAATTGTGATAAAATCTCCAAATTTATCATTGAATTCTATCCAATTTGCATTCCACAATTTTTACAGAATACTATTGATGTTCCTAAATTAAACTATGTGTTCCTACAAGAATTAATTAATAATGGAACTGTTGCACTAGATTCTAATGAATATGATAAATATTTAAATTTGTTGTCCGATTATAATCCAGAAAATGTATTGGAATTTCTTCAAAATCAAAATCATTTGTATGACATTGATTATGCTTTAAATTTATGCGAGCAAAGAAACTTGACGTCATCAATGATTTATTTATATGAGAAAAAATGTGACTACAAAACGGCATTTACTCTAAGCATGGAATGTTTAAAGGAATCACCTGAAAGTACAGCAGAAGCACAAGCTTTAAAAGTTTGTTCAATGTGCGTCCGAATATCAAATAATTTGAATGACGCAGACCGTGAAACTTACTGGTTTGAGCTCATTAAAGCTGTACTGTCAAGGAATTATTTAAGTTCTATTGTTAAACAAGTGCTTCATTTATCCAGCAGTTATGTAGATTTAACTAAATTAGTCCAATTAATCATGCAAAATGACGTTCAAGGATCTGCAAAAAGTTTTGGTGACATTAAGCATATTCTGATAGGAATGCTGACCAATTTTGAGTATGAATCGTTGCTACTTAAAACTACACAGAATATTTTAGGGCGTGATCTTCATACAAAGTTGGTGAAAGAGAAACAACAGGCAGAGGCTGGAATCTACTGTAAATTCCTTAAATGCTCAATTTGTAAACGAAAGCTTTCAGATTCTGTAACTAATGCCTCACAAAATGATAACAATCAAATTAAAATTTTCAGTATTTGTGGACATTCCATACACAATTCATGCTATGAAAAGTCACAAGATGAATGCACGAATGAAATTGAGAGTGAAGAACCATGTGATAAAGATTTAAATAAGCTACAATGTAGTGAGTGTGGAATTATTATTAATGAGATAGACTCAATTTATTTAAGCAAGACGAATTGGAGTTTAATTTCTAAAAATGACATGAACATTGATTTAATGCTGAAAGCGCCAACACGATTAGGTCTCAATAATAAATTATTGAGCTAAACAATGTGTCCTGAAGTTATACTCTGGATGAAATAATAAAGAATATTCTATAGAAATAATTTCGACGCTGTTTATAATTAAAGAATTATATTATGCAATTTAATCCTGACATGATAATCTTAAGTAATATGAGATAAAAAGTAAAAAATGCATTTTTTTGATGATCAAATAATTCCTCATACTCCAGTCTCTATGAATCCACAAGTTGATCAGAAATAATCTTGAATTTTGAATAAACTAAATTAAACAATCAAAGCAAAGAAATTGACAAGATTTTGACAAAAAAGTTTTTGAATTCAAGGGCTTTTTTTTGTGACAATCGATTTATTTGCTTAAAACACAATTGTTTGATTTTTTAATTTTAAGTTTTTTGCAAATTTGACTCGCATTTTTTTGGAAAGGACTTTTGTAATTTTTCAAGTTATAGTTCCTCATATGTTTCAACGAATCCGCAAGTCTTACAAGCATGAGAATATTCATCAGTTTCCTCATTATATGTGCTTTTTCCATATTCATGCTCGTGTGGCTTGTAAGTTTTATCATATAATGTTGCTCTGACATTTTTACGAAGTGTTGATAGCTGCTTGTTGTACTTTTTTACCTTAGATATTTCACGTTTTTCCTCACGAATTTTCCGTTCGTCTTCAATCTTTTTTTCGCTTTCATAAACTTCCATGGCTCGTGCCTTCACTTGTGATTTAAGGTAAAGTTTCATTTCAGCCCATGTCGATTTGTGTGGATTTTTACGGGATATAAACTTTAATGGCGGTTCTCTTTTATCAAAATCGCAATCCTTTAGTAGAAACTCGTTTTTTGCATCTGTCTTTGTTATCAATTCGTGCTTTTCGTCCAAATCTTTACACTTGTCACAACACGAGAAGTCGAAATTTTTGTATAAATAGGAATCAGCAAATTCCTCAGAGCATTCATTACAAGTTAAGTATGATACTGGAACTTCCATAGCGTCTTCTTCAGCTAATTTTTGGATTTTTGCTGCTCTTTCCTCTTCATCGACAGTATGGTCCACTTCATCTAATAAAAAGCCTCCATTTGTGTCTTTGAATTTGTGCCCATCAACTTTGATCATCTTTCCGCCACATTCTGACTCTTTTGAACTGAAATTCAGTCATATTTTGAAATAAAAGAATTATTAGCTAAGGGATGTCATAAGTTTTTCACGGAAATTATATTTAACAAGAAAATGTGATAGACATTCTTAAAATTCCTAGTTTACAGCATATAACTACGTAAAATGACAAAAAAAAACACTTACACAGCAATTTTAGATTCTCTTAGCTGCATTGCCTTCAATCTATTTCTCTCTATACGAGCTTTTTCAGCTGCTGTTAGTTCACGTTTGTTCTTTGGTTCTTCCATTTCACTGGATGTTTTAACTATTTTGTTTATTTTTTAACGAAGCGCCAATTATATTAACGAAACTAAATTCATAAATTCATTTTAACGAAAAATGTACAGAACTTGATTTTAAAGGAATCAGTTAAAACTTTTTGATGCAGCTTTAAATCACCCACAAACCAGAATCCCCAAGCAAATTTCCCCAAAGCCCCCACAATACGAAATACACGGAAAACAGTGTTTTTCATAAACACCACATATATTTTCAAGTGGTGGATAAAATCACACGTGTGTTTTTATTCACCACATATAATTGCATTGGAGATCAGTGTAATGCTTTTTAAAGTTTGAACAAAAGTGAACAAAATTTGGTTTTATTCTCATTTTTAAATCCAAGCTTAATTTTTTTATAAATAAAATATGAAAAATATGTGTTTCCAGAAACACCACTTGCAATTTACTTGTGGTGAATAAAAACACACGTGTGATTTTATCCACCACTTGGAAATATATGTGGTGTTTATGAAAAACACTGTTTTCCGTGATTTTCGTATTGTGGGGGCTTCGGGGAAATTTGAGTAGGGATTCTGGTTTGTGGGTGATTTAAAGCTGCATCAAACTTTGTTTGAAAGTTTGATTTCAAAAGTTTTTATTGTATTTTTTAGTTCGTACATTGTAGGCTCGAAATGTACCATCACACAAGTCTCGATGCTTTGTTAATTGAATTGGTCTTATGAATTGACTTTTGCATTTTTCACATTCAATAAAATCTTTTTTGTGTTTCTTTTTATGCAGCGTTAAGGCATATTTTTGTCTGAATGTTTGATCGCACTCGTTACATATAAATGGACTATTTTTCGTGTGTACCCTCAAATGATTTGTCAAATGATGGTGATGTCTAAACGACTTATCACATCCTTCATGCGTGCATTTGTATTTCCTAATTAAATTATGTGAACGGAAATGGGACCTTAAACTTCGACTACTGTCATACATATTTCCACAAGCTTGACAGATGAATTTCTGGTTGTGATTTTCACTCATATGATTTTCATAAGCATGTTTGTCTTTCAGATTCATGCTGCATAATTTACAAATAAAATCAGTTTTGGATATCAAGTTGTGGTCCTTTATATGCAGCTTTAGTTCTGCATCAGATAAAAAGGACATATAACATTCTGTGCATTTGTAATTGATTTTATCATTTGCAACAATTAAAGAAGATTCAAGTTCCAATGTAACATAATCTGGATTTTTAATTATTTCACGAGCAGATGGAAATTTTGGAGTGACGATTAATTGAGGCTTTGACCTCTCAAACTTCAGTTCCTCTATGTGAACAACTGTCGATTCTAGCTTATGTCCTTCTGGATGTAATTCCTCGTGTATTAAATCATCCTCGCTCATAAACTTTTCAGCTTCAAGGCTTTCACTGTTCGACAGAAGCTCATTATTGTCATCAAAGATCTCAATTTCGTCGTTAAATTCTATTAGATCATCTTGTATCACTTCCTGTAATAATTCATCTCGTTCTTGAGACTCTGAAGTAGCTATTGTACTCAGAAACAGCCTAAGATCATTTTGCTTACGTATCAGTTGGTTTCTAAAGATTAAAAAGTGGGCATTTAATTAGACTAATAGTGTAAATTATGTGACTAATAAACTTGCTTGAAAAAATAGAAATTCTCCACATGATTACTGCAGTCAGTACACACATTTAATGGATATTCATTTGTAAGAGGTAGCTGCAAATCATTTATTTTAGTTATGAGCAGTTTTGAGTATGTCAATAAATGAAATTAAAGACTATTTTTTACCTCAGATCCAGTTAATTCCTCGAATTTATACTTCTGAGGATCTGTTAGTCTTATCAGTAATTTGTGACAGTCACTTTCAGTGTTAAATAAACACAACCGGCAAATTTTGTCTAGAAGTACCATTGCTATAATAAATTACAACTAGTGTATCGGGTAGAAACTCAATGCGGATTATATTCACACCGTACCATCAAATGCTAGCGAGCTGATTTTTTTCAATCTGAATAAAACCAATAGATTCACACGTGAAAACGGTGTGAATATAAAAATAAAATCATTCGTTAAAAGTCTCGTTTAATTATTTAACGAAATGTTGGCAAATTATTGAGATCTTTAGGAAAAAAATATTTTAATTTATTTTGGTCTATATTAGCGGCAGTTGTTGATATATATTAAATAAAACTAGATGATGAGATGGAGTCAGTGCTGTTGAAAGTGATATGGTATTTAGTTCACTTAATTGTGAATTTATTCGAGACAATTTATTATTTCGGCTTAGAATTTCGAGAAAATTTTCATAATTTCATTACAAATATCACAAAAGATAAGCCAAGCAGCACAAAAGAGAGTGAATTACAGCTGATTGAGAGTAGTGTACAGGATTTGGAGAAAATACCTAAGCATATAATTGTCATATTGAATATAAATAATGAAAAAGACGTGGACCTATCACAGCTTACAAATTTAATTTATTGGTCAATGAATAGTGGAGTAAACTTCATTAGCTTCTATGATTATAAAGGTAAGCATTTTTATGTCTATAACATAATTATCTTCTTCTTAATCAGTTTAATATTCGACCTTTTTCTCATTACTTGACCTTTCGTCCCAGACTATTTTTTTGTATGTCAATGCATCCAGTCACATGATTATTACTTTCTACTGTTATTATTAATTATTTTACATACATTCTTTGCGTCAGTCACTATAATGATACAATTTTATTTCTTTTATTTTAGGCATTGTTAAGCACCAACTCGCATCATCATTACATCACATAATCAGCAAAAAGCTCAACATAAGTGACAATGAAAACATTGTATGGGGGCCGAATTATTTAAAGGGTTCCAATTCTGATGGAGTCAAATTTCCACATAGAAACGGATACAGGAGGCATATAGTTATCAATTTATACTCATCTGATGATGGTTATGGCAAGTTCAATGAACTACTTACAGACGAATTATACAAAAAGGCAACCAATTTTGGTGATGATGAAACTCTCAATAGTAGGAATATAACGATAGATAAAGTTGATAGGAAATTGAGTAAATTATTTGGAAACATACCAGATCCAGAATTAGCTATATACTTTGGAAATATTACTTGTACAGCTGGTGTTTTACCGTGGCATATAAGACTTACAGAATTCATACAAATAGCCTATAAGCAACATCACTTATCACTTGATAAATATCTACGAGTGCTGCATAAATACGCACGATGTGAGCAGCGTTTTGGAAAGTGAATTTTATTACTTTTTATCGTAGCGCGTAATCATTTTAAAGGAAGAAAGTCCTTCTGTTATTTGAGAAACTATTAATTTTACGTGTGCTTTGCGTGAATGTCCAAGTAAACAAATTTTTATGAATTAATTATTTAATATGAAGTATTCTTAATAGATCCTCACGTTAATTTGAGGGTAAAGACGATTTATGAACGAATCAATTTCCAGATATGCTGTTAAAACCTATGAATAAAATGATAATCAATGAAAACTGTCGAATTACTCGATCTATAATGTTCATTAAATAGTCCTGCAAAACTTAAATAAGCTGTCAAAAATCGGATGAAAAAGTAGCGAAAAAAAAGTATCAAATGGAAAGTTGGTTTATTTCAGCGCTTGACAAAAAAAAATAATCACAAAGAAAGAGGGGATGTTTAATTCAATTTTTACTCAAAGTTGGTTAAAAATTGCGGAGTTTTTAAATTTTTTATATCCTTAACTATACACCGAAAAAAAAGCATTGACTATTATTTGTCCCTAATATATGGGATCGATTTAATTGATACATAAATTTGCATAATTTAATACCTACGTCTGTGCCTTTCCTGGCTTCTCGAATGACTCCTTGATCGACGTCTGCTAGATTCTGAACGTATTGACGATTTAGACTCGATTGACCGGCGATCTGATTTTCTTGAATGATGTCTTTTATCTTTGTCACGAGACCTCGATGGAGAACGTGATTTATCTTTCTTTTTACTAGACTTTTTGCTATTTTTACTTGACTTTTTGTGTTTTTTGTGCTTTTTACGATGTCCAGAATCGGATGAGCTTGACGACGAATCTCGACGCTTTTTCTTCTTCTCCTTTTTTGGACTTTCGCTATTTTCTGCCTTCTCAACAATCCGCGGAAGTTGTGGAACAATTATTTTTGGGATCATATTTGTGCCATTTTCACTTGTCGATCGAGTACTATCGACCATACCAAGATGTGTCATTTGAGTCGTCGATCGTCCGTCTTTTGGATCACTAAAACGTGTCTTCTTTTCCCGTGGTACTCTCATTAAAGGACCTGGACATTTACAGAAGGCGAGTGAGTTTTAAAGGAATAGAAAAAGTTCCGAAAAAGTTCCAAAATTCAAAAAAAGTCGTCTCATTTATAAATAAGATTAATCTCCTTCCATGCTTAGTATTAGCACGAAAGAGAACTTACCAGATGATGTGGATATGGAATAAATCATTGTCTCATATTTTTCCTCACCATCTTTACGAGTACTTTTGAACTTTTTTTGTCTATCGTCATCACTATCTGAATGCCTGATTTTTGCATGCTTTGCTTCTGATTTTGATGACGATCGTTTTTTTAATCTTTCCTCTTCCTCTGCGGTCTGCTTATCAATCCTTTCATTTACTAGCTTCTCGAATATTGCTTGCTTTTTATGGATTCGTTCCTGTATTTTAAAAGTTACACAATAACTAATGGGCAAGATCAGAAAAAAAGGGAAAAAAACTTTATATGCTGATTTCTCTGCTTACGAGCATCCAATTTTAATGATTTTTTCACAGGTCGATAGTTAATTTCAAAAAGTTTAACTTTTTGTTTTATTTTTTAAAATGGCGACTTTATAAGTTACTTTAATTAACAAATTAATATTTAAAGTAGAGTTTTTCATATGAAGGAAGCAAGTTGGTTGTTCAAGATCTTCACAAAAGTTGTGGATTTTGATATTTTCTATCAAAACATCGTATTGTGACTTCAAAAAACTGAATAGATTAAGTTAATTTAACTAAAACTCAATTTGTTGAATAAATCGTTTTTTAACCGAAAATATTAACTCTAATTGACTGAAAACAATTAATAAGTAGCTAAAAAGTCATTTTCTATAGAAATTGTATCTGTAAAAGACATTAAAATGAGTTAAATTAACTCAAAAAAATTGCAATTTTAATTGAGCAACATGTTTTACTCAATTTCGCTCAGAATTTCATAAGAATTTTGAATTTATTAAAACTGTTACAATTTTCTTGGTTAATCTTTTTAACTTTTTATGATTTTAAAGGCTTTCCATAAATACTTTAATTTTTTTTTTCTTTTGCAACAAGATGCATCTTATGTTTTGCTATAGTTTTACATTGAAAAATCATTAGAACAATAAAACAGCAAAAAGTTATATCTAGTTTTCTAAAATTCATTGTAACTTTGTTAATTAAAGTAGAACTTGAAATGTTTTTCAATAAGCTTAAGGAAAACCATATTTGCTACCTTTTTTGTGAACACAGCTAGTTCCTAAACTGTTTTCTTCATATGGAATTTTCAACCAAAACATTTAAAACGTTAATTAAGCTAACTTATGAAGCCGCAATTTTAAATTTTTTATTCTATACATTTACTGCCACAAATTTTTAATTCCTTGGTGAAAGAATTTTTAAGATTGGTTTATTAGTTGCAGAGATATTGCATTTGCAACATAGTGTAAAATCGAATTTCCTTAAAATTGTTCGTGACGCTTAGCACTTTAACTTAATTTTTTAACTATAGCACAATGTCAAAATGCCACTTGTTATATACCAAAATGCAGGTCCTGGCGAGAGCTTTTAGAAAAACATAAGCTGATCAGCATTATTTGCATTAATCTGCTCAGCGTCACGAACAATTCATTTTTGATCTTGCCCTAATATTACTCATAAAACACGATAAATTACCCTCAAAACTGAATCTGTCTCCCAATCGCTGTTTTCACCATTCTCATGTTCAGAATCTTCCTCATCTGTGCTACTCGAATAGGCACCTAGTCCTAAGAAATTAGAATTTAAAGAAAAAGAGAAAAAGATTCTTGTGAAATAACCATGCTTTAGAATACAGTCATGAAAATAAGACTTTTTTTTTAAAAAAAAAGGAGAATATGGAATTAGCTGCGATCAAGGACAATATTCTTGAGAGCATGCAAATTTCCATTATGTGATGAGTGAGAAAAAAAATACTTCCTCAATGTCAGCTCAACATTATTGCATTGTCAAAATTAAACAGCATGTACAATTTTCCAAAATTATCATTCAGAATTTGCTAAAAAAGAGAATTCTTTTTGGAGAATTTTAAACATCTCGAGCTGATCATTGAGTTTGATTCTATGAATGACGTGGTAATGGATGATGGAATGCGAAGTATTATGTCAAATTGTATCGGAATGTCAAGCAAAGATTAAAATTTGAAGTCAAAAAACGAAAGGTTTTTCATATTTTTTATAAAAATCAAATCAAAGATCAAATTAAAAACTTAATTCACTTACCAAGTCCGATGAGTGCAGGAGGCTTTGAGGTCGCTGAAGCTTTAATTTTGTTTAACAAATTAATATAAAGATATCAACCATAATAAACCTTAATATGAGTACGAGGCATGATTAAAATTTTGGATTTTAATTGATAGAAAATGAAATTAGTGCCTCGATTCAATTTCTTTTCATGAATTTCTATCCTTAGAAATTAAATTTGTTAACATCACATTTTTCAATGAGATTAAGAAGATTTGTATAGTAAAATATAAAGAAATTAACAGTTTTCTATCATTACAACTACCTTTTTTGCGATACTTTGACAGAGTTTCAGTACTTATCTCTTGAATTTTTTCATCTGTTACTTCTAATAACAATTGTGTCAGAGTTTTCCGAACAAGTAACATCTAATTGTGACAGTTTATGAGTTAATATTAGTAATAACAACGTGATATTTCATTGAGATTACCATTTTTTCAAAAGCTTCTTCATCATTTTCAATTGGCTCATGTTGATTTTGGGGTACATTATTGTCAGTCTCTTCCGTTTCAGAATCAGATGATTCCTAAAATCAATCAAATTATAAGTCAATTCGTGCTTTACTAATTGCACAGCACTATGGGGCAAAATTGAAAAAAAAGGGACTTTCACTTTGATTTTGGGACTTTTTCGAATTACAAACTCAGGTATATTTTTTCTTGTATAGGACATAAAAATAGACTTCTATGTCAAATTTCAAGTCATTTGGTGCTGTTCCTGCGATTTTGTGACTGTTTAAAGTTGAAAATGAGTGAAAATTCTGATTTTTTCATGCCCTCTTTAAATCTAAAGTTCCTTATGATTATTAAAGATATTGAAAAACGGTTTTCAGTTCCTAAGAGTAATATATGAGAGCTTCATTTTGATATTCCACAAAGATTTTAACTTTGTAGTTTTGGTACCGCTATGGTAGGATATGTAAGAAAAACAGTGGAAAAATATCTTCAAACGTGCCGCAAGTATCTTAGATCGCAGAATAGTAGGGGGTAGAATCACACCAGCATGTAGCCCTTGACTTGTGGTTTTCAGAACTGTATAAACTTTGTCCAATATAGTTCTGCATTAAAAAGTTATAGCGATTTTAGTGAGTCGATGAATATTTAACCAAAAACTAAAATTGCTTATAAAAAATATAAATCAATGAATACAAATAAGTTTTTTCATGTTTTCTAATCATAAATACTGTAAGAAAACAAACAGTGAAAAATTTTTTTCAAAAAGTTCAAAATTTGATGAGATATTGGGTACATTTGATATCTGACGACTTGTATGCTTTTCTCATCACTCAAACCACTAGTACTCTTACAAAACAAACTATTTTTTAATTTTGTTTCCAGTTTATTATAGCTTAAGTCAGAAATTTTCTAATGATGTATAAAACTTGATGGTTGACTTTGATCTTGGTCATGAATATGAGCCTTGTTTGTGAGCGACCCTAAACTAGAAAAATCTCAAAAACGTCATTACTAGAAATACCACTTAGAAACAAATTTAAGTATTTATTTGTGGTTTTTTATGATGATTAATGATAGTTATGACTATTAAAACTCAAAAATTTGCATTTCACAAAGTTTTTGCTATCTCAGGTAGCTTCTAAGGTACGACCCTAGTAGACAATATTGGGTCTGAAAATCTCAAAGATTTGATTATTTTTCAGAGTTTTGTTGATTGATGTTTCATATTGATACAACTTTTGTATTTTTACCTATGCTGATTGAAGTTCTGTATGCATTTCGATTCCACTCAAATTACTAGAACTTTTTTCAGAATTAATATTTTTGCAATCTGTTTTCAATTATTGCTAGCTTAAATCAATACCTTTAAGGTGATGTATAATACTTGCATGAAACTTTGTTATAGCAGTCATGGGAGTGGTTTGAATGTGACCGACGCAAGCTGAACTTTAACAAAATAGCCAAAATCAAGAATTTACCCATCAAAACTATTTAAAAGTAATGTATTATGACTCAAATATGTTCCATTATGAAATATCAACCAACAAAACTCTGAAAAATAATCAAATCTTTGAGATTTTCAGACCCAATATTGTCTACTAGGGTCGTACCTTAGAAGCTACCTGAGATAGCAAAAACTTTGTGAAATGCAAATTTTTGAGTTTTAATAGTCATAACTATCATTAATCATCATAAAAAACCACAAATAAATACTTAAATTTGTTTCTAAGTGGTATTTCTAGTAATGACGTTTTTGAGATTTTTCTAGTTTAGGGTCGCTCACAAACAAGGCTCATATTCATGACCAAGATCAAAGTCAACCATCAAGTATTATACATCATTAGAAAATTTCTGACTTAAGCTATAATAAACTGGAAACAAAATTAAAAAATAGTTTGTTTTGTAAGAGTACTAGTGGTTTGAGTGATGAGAAAAGCATACAAGTCGTCAGATATCAAATGTACCCAATATCTCATCAAATTTTGAACTTTTTGAAAAAAATTTTTCACTGTTTGTTTTCTTACAGTATTTATGATTAGAAAACATGAAAAAACTTATTTGTATTCATTGATTTATATTTTTTATAAGCAATTTTAGTTTTTGGTTAAATATTCATCGACTCACTAAAATCGCTATAACTTTTTAATGCAGAACTATATTGGACAAAGTTTATACAGTTCTGAAAACCACAAGTCAAGGGCTACATGCTGGTGTGATTCTACCCCCTACTATTCTGCGATCTAAGATACTTGCGGCACGTTTGAAGATATTTTTCCACTGTTTTTCTTACATATCCTACCATAGCGGTACCAAAACTACAAAGTTAAAATCTTTGTGGAATATCAAAATGAAGCTCTCATATATTACTCTTAGGAACTGAAAACCGTTTTTCAATATCTTTAATAATCATAAGGAACTTTAGATTTAAAGAGGGCATGAAAAAATCAGAATTTTCACTCATTTTCAACTTCAAACAGCCACAAAATCGCAGGAACAGCACCAAATGACTTGAAATTTGACATAGAAGTCTATTTTTATGTACTATACAAGAAAAAATATACCTGAGTTTGTAATTCGAAAAAGTCCCAAAATCAAAGTGAAAGTCCCTTTTTTTTCAATTTTGCCCCATAGTGCACATCGAACTTACATATTTGCTTTTAGAAACTTTTTCCTTTTCAATCTCTTTAAGTGCCTCTTCCATCAATTTTTTCCGATTCTCTTCGTCCTCTTTTTGCTTTAGTTCTTCTCTTAATCGTGCTTTTTCTAGTTCCTTCTCACGTTTAATTTTTTCCAAGCCTTCTCGAATCCAAATTGGCAATTTCTTACGTTTCTGTATATCCATCATGCCTACAGACGACGCAGAATTGCTATTGCTATCATCATTATCGGAATCATCCATATCCATGTCAATTGTATTGATTTGATCTTCAATATTATTCATTGACGGTGGATCTGGTATAATTAATGGCTGATGTTGAGTATAATGGCTTTTGCGTGGTGCATCATGATTCTTATGAAAACGACTGGAACTAGAAGTGACGGAGATTTGCTGTACGACAGTCGGAACTTGAATAAATGGTGTTTGCTGGATGTTTGAAAAATCAATTGTAGTCGGAATTTGATGAACAGAATTATTCCATACTGGTTCTTCCTTAACATCCTCAATATCCATATCAGCTACAGCCAAGTTATCATAATTAGTGTTGTCTGTGAAGCTTATCTTTGGTGCTTCTGGAATTTGTAGATCTTTTGGCAATAAAACTTCACTCGTCTGCGATTGCTTTCTAATCCAGTCTTGTGCCAACTGTTTCCAATAATTCTCGTCCATTTGATTCATCTTTGGCTACTTAACAATCAATATATTCATTAACATCACTGATTCAGCTAATAATTGAGAGTTAAAATAATATTTCAAATTTTTTTATTGATGTTCTTTTGTATTCTTATTATTATTATTATTTTTTTTTTAACGAAACTTATTTTTGAAATTTTTCGACCGTTATGCTCTTGACTAGAAGATACATGCCAGTTCCTGAAATTCTTTTGTCGACCAACGGATACGCTAATAGTACACTTTTTTATTATCAGACAAAATATTTTGTAATTATTTAAACTCAAAAACATTTGGTAATAGAATTAATAAATGTGTTGAAAGGAAGGATTAAGTGAGTGGATAAAGTTGAAAATGAGTGACATAAAGGATATCAACGTTAAAGAGCAAAAATTCATCTTGGAAAATGGTTTGTTATTTTTTTGCACTCACTTGAAAATTTTTTTCCATGAATATCGATTTTTTGCAATGATTACTTTTCGCATATTCCTTAGAAAATTTTGAGATGCTTAAGGCACTCTATGACTTCAAAGCTGTCTATCCGAAGACTATATCGTGAGTGTCACATGATTTTAAATGTATTACATAAATTTAATTAACATGATTTAATTAATAACTGACAACAACCAGATTCGAGGAAGGTGATCTGTTCTTGCTCCATCAAACGTCTGCAAGACAAAGAAATTGGTGGCAAGTAGTGAATGAAAGAGGCAATATTGGATTCGTTCCATCGAATTATGTTGAAAAATTGAAGGTAGTTAAATTTAAAATAGTATCCTCCTTATTTGTGTGTGTCATTTCTACACACCCAATTTTCTCAAGACCTGAGATGAGACTTGAAAAATCGATAAACTTTTATGCATCATCTAATATATAAAAAACCAACTCACTGATTCACTGATTCTGGAACGGAAGCAATGTGAAGACATTTCTGAAGCCGTGTGAAGACAAAAAGGGGGGGGGGGGGGGGGTGTCAGGTATATTTTGTGAAGCCAATAATTTTAGGGGTGCTGACAAGGTGGGTGTCAGGGGGGGGGGGCAAGGTGGGTGTCAGGTGGGGATTGGGGCCAAGGGGGGTGTCAGGTATATTTTGTGAAGCCAATGATTTGAGGAGTGCTGGGGGGGGGGGGGGTGTTGGATCCGAATTTGAGGGGGTTTGTGGGAAAAGTTTGGTGTCAGGAATATTTTGTGAAGCCATATAAAATTTTTGTGGGATTAAGGAAATCCGAGTTTGAGGGGGTTGTGAGGCCCCCTGTGAAGTTTTGTGGCCATGTGAAGTTTTGTGGTAGGATTGACCTTAAAAACATTATGGTTATTTACGTCTTACAGTTATTTACATAATAGTAATCAAATTTTAACCCTGATAAGAGGCGCCACGGGCGCCTCCGGATAGCCTAGTTTTTCATAAAATGACATTAATTTAATTACAATTTGTCATAATAGCAAATTACTCCCCGCCTTCTTCTTTGTGTCAATTATGAATAGGTCGAACCAGCTTATCTCCTTGAATTTATTGAGACAGCAATTGAAAATTTAAAGCATTCGGACGAGAAAGAAATTAATAACATTATAAGTCGCGAACAATTGATATCAAATTTAATAGACAAGAAGAAGAATTTGGAGAAGGTCATGATTGGAGATGTCGAATTGAGAAATTTACCAGAACAACCACTTCCAAAGGAAAAGAAACACAAATCGAAGGTCGGAAATGGTTCAGTCAAACACCAAATTGAAGAGCAAGAGGAGCAGGAACCGGATATCACTCAAGAAACAAAAATTAAGCATAGTAAAAGTAAGCCTGAAAATGCTCCAAAGAAATCGATGTCGACATCAAGCGTTGGAGCAATACCCCCTCAAATGATACAAGAAAGTCCGAGTATGAATGTTTTAGCTTCAAAGTTAGAGGACGTATCATCACCGAGCAATCCTCCTGACACAAGCCTTTTATCAGAAGTTTCTTCCGGAGAAACGATCACTACAATTACAATAACCAGCACAACTGACGACGCAACAATTGTGACAAAAGAATTAGAATTAGATGATGAAGAAATGAATGCAGCACCGACAAGTGATGCTACTATGGCTGATATTAAGGAGGAGAAATCTGATGCATCAAAAAGTTCCAGTAATGAAAAAGTCGTTGCTAATGGTGGATGTAAAAATGTCGTTAAGCACGATGTAATTATAGTTGAGGAACAAGATGTCTATCAAATCGTTGAATCTATTAGAAAGAATACAAATTTAAGTCACGAACTATCTCAATTAGCCCTAAGAGTTGTCATTGACGAGATGGAAGCTTTAATACCTGAATCAGCCAAATATCTCGATCCAATTGCAATTCATCTGACAAATCCACTCACAGTTCCTGATAATCTTTTGGGACAAACTCATGATGCTCAACGTTTACGCAATTTATTCTCGGAACTAGCCGATGCCAAAAATGACTCAGAACAGAGAAGCTGGATGCTTTACGAGGATGAAATAGATTTAACAAATTATTTAACTGAATTAATTCGTATACTAGTCGATGCAGATCCAAAAATTTGTCGCTATGAGATGTCATGCGATGCATACCATTCAGTCAATAATCTCGTACTTTATTATCAAATGGAAACAAGATGGAATATAAGGAAGCTCTTGTTGAAAACTTTTAAAGCAATGTGCTTATTAGACGTCACGTGCGTTGATCTTTTAATTGGATCGGTTTTACCCCTTGAATTAGTACAGGACATGCTGTCAAATCCTGAAAACTTAGAGAAATTAAGTGAATTGTCTGTAATGCTGATCATGATCTTTAGTGCGGGACATAAAATGCCCATTGCCCATTTTGACCTAATGAAACATGACTTTGTGCTGTTTATGCTTAATCTAATTGAAAATCCATTAGAAGATGACCAAACAGAATTTTTATCTGACGTTATGATTAATTTACTACTCGCTTTTAATTTACAATTTGACAATTTTACTGAAAATACAATTTTGGAAGCAATGCAACAGATTAAGACATCAAAATCTTTTACCGAGAAAATTCTCCTCCTCATCAATCGAGAAGGTAAAAGTTTTCATCAACTTCATCTTGTTCCTTAATTTTTTTTCTTATATTATTTTTTAATTTGTTCTTTCTTAACAGAGGATCCAGTGTTTGTACTAAAACATACTAAACCACCGATCAATTCCGTTTTGAAAATTCTTGTGGACTTGTTCTCAATTCCTGAAACCACTATTCTTTTTTATACCAACGATATCAAGGTGCTTATTGATATTCTCGTAAGACAACTCTCTGATCTTTGTGCTGGCGATCCTGTAAGTTTATGTGCTGTATTTGAAACTTTTAAGTTATTCACTTATGTTATTTATTTTAATCTGTTTATATTTTGTATTTTCTGTAGATTCGCAAATGGTACCTCGAACTGTGTCGCAGAATCCTAAGGAACACAGATTATGCTGAACATCAGCATCGTGCATTGGATTTAATGAAAATTTTTACGAGAATATTTTGCGAAGAGACAGTCGAATCAGCAGGAGATCAGCAAATTGTTCGTGAGATTTCAAATGAATTCCCACACATATTTAAAGCTTAAAGACAATGATGGTCTTCATACATCTCTTTGGTGTAATAGTATTTAAGGGATTACTGTTTAATCAGTCATTTGTAGAATAATAAGACTCGTTTAAAAATTAACGAAATAATCCTTGTAACCATCTTATTTCGAAAGATCTAATATATGTCGATTTTTCATCGATTCCATGACGATTGTCTTGTATCGCGAATATAGGGCATAGAATATTCAATTCGTTGACTTATGGTTACCTGGGGATGCACAATTTTTCGGGATAGAAACATGAAACATTCTCAAAGCAAATAATCCTAAAATTAAAAAATTTAAAAGCCTTTAATGGATATTAACTTTTGAGATTAAGTCTTATTCCTTAATACTTATAGCATAGCATTTAAAAAAAAGTATTATTCGATTTGATGTCACTTACTTAAATTCATAGCAATTTGAAATGAGAATCAAACTTTTATTAGATGAGAGTCGCATTTAAGAAAATCATTTATTTTAGGTACCTACATGCTTAATATTTGTTGAAAAAAATGCTTTAAATTGATGAAGTTTAATTAATTGGTGCAGACTATCAACGAAACATTCTCAGAAAAAAAAAATTATGAGTTGCCAAAAGTACTATATGATAGTTTCTTTACTTGCCAAAGATTCAAAAACTGTTTAATTCCATTGGATATCCGATGAATTTTTAAAAGATTTACAAATATAGATTTATTCAGATTTATTGAATGTTTAATAAAAAATAAAAGTTTAAAAAATATTTTATTCTCAATCATTATTCAAGTTTTATGAATGGAAAAAGGACATTTTATCTCCGGGAATTCCTTATAGCTTAATTTTGAATGGAAGTCGCCAAGAAGAGATTGCAGGTAAAACTGAGCTTTCTTTAGTATAAGTATTCATCCAACATTGAATCTTCCAAAAAAATGTTAAGTTTTAAATTTATTTACCATCCAATATTTAAAAATGTCTCACCACGTCCTTGCTGCTTCACGATTAGGTTTGGAGTGTGGAAAAATAAAGCTCTTATATTGAGTTTTTAGGAACTGAAACCTCTTTTTCAATATCTTCAAACATCGTAACGTATATGAACTTAAAGGTTGAGTGAAAATAATCAGAATTGTAGAAACAGCATTAAACTACTTGAAATTCGGCATATAAGCACACTGTAACTTTTTTAAAATTAAGTAAGCAATAATCTTTTTAATTTAAAGTTTAGCTAACAAATTTATTCATAATAAAATTTGCATCGATTAATTTAACTTTCGTTGAGATATCTACATCACATGGTGATCTCTCGTCAGTTAAAAAAATCCTGTAGACTTGACTCACTTTCGTAGCTTACTCACAAAATTAATAACGATTTGTGGTTTCAGCTATTAAATCCCTTAAAATATATACACATACAAACTAAGAAGACAATCGTTTTGTAATATTTAAAGGAATTGTTCTTGACTGCTTGCACTCAGTTCCATTAATCTCCATGCAGTTCGTGGATTAAGATCATTAATATCTCGACAAAGTACCCAAACATAGTTCACTCGCATAACTTTTTCCGGATCTCCTTCAATCACCTTATTATCTTTGTCTCTGACACACATAATTTGTTGTGCCTGGAAAGTAATGATCAATACAGGTCCTTGTTCCATAACTTTTCCCATTGCTAAATCGACGTTTTCAATGTCGAGAATTTTCGAGTCTAAAAAGTAGCCAATTTTTTGTGCGGCAGCAATTGGTGTTGCGATGACATTATAACAACTTTCAAAACACCAATCTTTAAGAATCTCCAAGTTTCCACGAACCATTGCCTCGAGAATATTTGGAATTATGTCTGTTTCACAATCTCTAAGAAAGTTTTTCTCATTAAAATCCGGTTCTATTTTACATATTTCTGTTAATGTTTCCGATAATTCTGTTTTACTAAACATCCCACCCATTATGTCGCTAACCTTATCAGTCAATAATCTTGATGCTCTTATCACTGGATTTTCTGATTCATCATATTGCATTTTCCACGAAAGAACCTTATTCACATACGTATTATTGTTCTTGAAATTTTCCCAAGATTGATAGAATTTTGAATCTTTATGGAGCTCAACGCCTGTAGCATCTGTATTAGCTTCAAATTGCCGATCATCATTCATAAATTCTGAAAATTCAACTCGTTTCCTTAATTTTGCAGGTGCTCGATAAACTCTCGCGTGAATTCCTTGACTTCCAATCTCTTCTCTGACAGCTGCTGTTGCTTGTGAAATACTTTGAAATGCTTGACTTTTTCCTAGTTCCGCTGTTTTCTCACTTATCGTACTGGCTGTTTCTTTAGCTGTTTTTGAAATATCTTCAGTGATTCTAGATGCCTTTTTTGCTATATCTGTTTTACCAACTTCATCAATAACTGACCCAAACTTCTCTTTAAGTGCATCTGTTCCTTTTGAAGCTTCGGATTCAACAGAATAGAACTTTTGACGAGCATTTTTTAAAGCATCTGACTGCTCAAGCTTTTCTGCCTCTTCACGGAACTTTTTGACACTTTCCTTCATTTCCTTACTCTTGTCATATTCCTGTTTGATATTTTCAAGTACTTGCGAAAAAAATCCAGTCCTTCTTCCAGTTGAATAACACTAAAAATAAGAGGAACTAGTAAATATCATTGAATTAATGTTTTTGATCATTAAATACCGCACAAATTTCAATTGCATGACTCTGTTGGACCTTCTGTTTTATAACTATGGTATTCCTAATGCTGTTATTGTTAAGTGGTGTCAAATTTCGGGAGCTTATCCTTAGTAATCGATTCTAGAAGATTTAAGAAAAAAAATTATCAATTTCGTAACATTAACCTTATTATCAATTATATTCAATTTTCTTGTGTATTAACAGCCCGACGCTTATGACAGCTGTTTCATTCGATGCATGATTGTCTTTCTTACCATTATATGTATTTAATTATTTATTACTTCCTATAACTAAAGAGTTTAATCTAAAAGTTTACAAGATTAAATTTGATTTTAGAAAAAATTGTGTTAAATACTCGATCACCCTGTTATTTTTTTGAATCTTTCGAAACCGTTATGAAAAGTACGAACAATGCTAAATTTGAATAATATTTAACCGTTTTTATACGCTTTTTTAAACTCTTTCAATTTATTGCATTGACAGCAAATCAATGTCTGAAAAGAAAAGTATCATCATACTTCCAAATTAGGGCAGGTGAATGGGATAGAAGTTCAGCCTTAGAATATTTACCTCACCAAGATCGATCAGTGTCTAAAATTATCTCACATCCACAATATTATGCTGGTGGATTCTGGAATTAGAACTTAATGTACAGCCTGTGTGAACCTGAAGAAAATGAAATTATACCGACCGGAACGAGATGATGTATTGTAACAGCTTGGGGGAAAACAGCTCAGAATTCTCCAACAACAGATCGTTTGAAGTTCGTTATAGCTCCAATTGTTGAGCATACAAAATGTCAAAAGCTTTTCCGTGACTTATTTTGGGTTTTCGATTCAAATTAAATGAAAGTTTCGTATGTGCTTGCGGAGAGGAGGGTCTTGATGCTTGCAATAATGATGAAGGATCGCCGTTAGTATGCAAAAGACCAAGTTCAGATTCACACATATTGGCAGGCTTGCTATCATGGTGCTTATACAAATATTTTTAATTTGATAAAATGGATTAAAACTAATTTATAATTTTAAATGTCCAAAGATTTAAATTTAATTATATTTGTGTATAAGTGGTATTTATTTTTGATAAATCCCAAAAAAAAAACAGTTTCTTGTTTTTGTATTTATCCTGAAGTATCAGGATGTAGTCATAAAATTCATTAAAACATTAACAATAAAAATTAGTATAAAAATTTTTAAGCACTAAAGTAGACACATGCGTAATATATAGTTTTCATCAGAAGAACATTACGAAATACACAATTAATCCTATGATAAGAATTAAAAGCAGAGGCCCTCCAATTAACATACAAATTGTAGCGGTGCAGCATTTACAGCATGAGCAAAGCCTAAAATGAATATAATTAATTATAGATTGATGAACAAAAAACTAGCGAATTGAGGATAATTATTTTGAAAGAGAAGGTTTGATCTCAAAATTATGTCCTGATCCTGAACTTAAAATTTATTAATTGACTTACGTCTTGGTGATACAACTACAACAGTCTCCTAGGCATTTACACATATTGAATTGATTTTTTTAATTATTTTTTTTCTCTTCTACTGAGTTCTGCACTTTCTTCCTGTTTAACTATTGATTTGTGACTAAACAACAGTTTATCACTTGATAATTATATTTTATTTTAGCGTATCATTGAATCAGAAAAAAATTGCGATAAGAAAATTTTCATGATTAGATAATGAGGCAGGTTGACAGCTTTAACGTATGATTCATAAAATACAAATTTTAATTTTATTGATGTTTTTATTCACATGAGATTAGTTTAGAATCTAAGACATTCGTACTACTGATACAAATTTTCTCCGTTAGATGATAATGACCGCGATCTAATTTCTGATTTTTGCAGTACTTGTGTTAATTATTTCCGAACAGTGCAACTTGAGTTTTATTGGGATTGATATATTTTGATGAGAAAAAATCACGATATGCCTCTGGTTCTACAATGTATACGTAGAGCAAAAAGAGACAGAAAGCAAGTATGGCCAAAACTAGAATTGGCATTATTATGCACATGCAAATTGCTCTAAAAGTGCATTCAACACACGAAAAGCACCTAAAGAATGAACATAAAAGAAATGAATTTAAATAGAGTTTGAATTCTAAAGATTTAACAAAAACCATAGTTTTAAGCAAGTTTCTTTGCAATTCACTTACAGATTGAAACAACAGGAACATGTTGATTTAATGCAGTTGCACATTTTAGAATTTATTAAAGCTTGTTTAATCGAAAAACATAAATTTTTTAATAGATATCCAATTGAAAAAACTATATTTGAATGATTACTATTATCTGCTATGATTAGCTTTTTTTCCAATTAATACAGTACCGTTCAAAACTGTTTCCATGTTTCATGAAAATTTTTCTTATAAAACGTAATATTTTCCCAACATGTTATATATCGTTTTAAAGCTTGTTTAATAAGCTATTTAAAAATGATAAGCAACTTTGCAAAATATTTAATTAAAGTAGATTTTTTGCTTAAAATATACACTGTCACATGGAAACACTTTTGAGCTAATAATTGTTTTTCCAAATTTTGATGCATAGCAGAACAAATTGATTAAAATTTGTTTATTATAGTAAAAAGCAAGTAAAATATTAGATAAAAGCACATAAATTAAGTTTCTAGACATAGTTAAAATATTTAAATAAAAATGTCAAATCACATGATAAATTTTCATATAATTTTGCAAAAAATTACTGAATTAAAGCCAAATGTTGTGATGTTTGCATCTATACAAATGTAATTTAGCTTATTAAATCTGAAAAACAGTTTTTAATTGAAAATAGAAGCATTGGAAAGCAAAAAATTGATAAGATTTCATGGAAACACTTAAATTTTCTTACTTGCAAACACAAATATTCAAAATTTTTTATTACTTCCTCCACTTCAATCAACTTTAATCGCTTTTTCTGATAGATTTTATGTTAACAAAGAAAACCATATATGATTTATGTAGTCATTGTGAGAGTAAAAGGATTTTTTTTTACAATTTTGTTGGTCAATGACAGCCATATTCAAAAATTTTCACAAGCATTTACAAAAATTCAATTTTTTTACGTAAATATCGACTTAAGACAACGCAAAATGATTAAAATTATTTAAAAATCCAATTCATATTAATAAATAGTCATATTTGACTATCTTGATTGATGATGAATGATTTCACTGCTATTTCCATCATATCTGAATTTAAAATGATAACAAAATCGCAAAAATATTAAAAGAATCGATATCAAGTGGCTTTACTAAGATTATTTAGCATTTATTTCATTTCGTGACATATCAAAGAAAAATGAAAATTTTCGTCAATAAAATGAAACCTTGGTAATGACATCATAGTCTGTTGATGTTTTGATGAATGACGTCAGAAAACGGCAAAATAATCAGAACCTCGTGGCATATTCCAAGCAATTTTCTATTTATTTCTTATTGGAAATTGTGGAAATTGCTGATAGTACATAAGGATTGTACATAAGCTTTACACAAATTCCTTATGTTATATAATCATGATGTGCGCATGACTAGTAAATTTATGGAATTTCCACTTTCCAATTGATTTTTTCATCTTATTTGAGATTTCCATAATTTTAGGAAGGGATGAACTTCAAAAATTGTGTTTTTATGGTTCGCAGAACAATTTATTTTGCAATGGCATTAAAATTTATAACGATTTTATAACGTACGATACATACCGATAAAGCACTCTCCGTAAAATCTTCCGCAATTAATTACGTTAAATTGAAATACCCCAAACAATTAGAAACAATATAAAAGCGTTTAAAATGCATTTTAAAAAGTCGCCGCTAAAGTACATAATTACCCGAGGGGAAATTAACTATGAATCAAAGGGTGCAAAACTATGTGCTTCCATATCTAACGTACATTTCATACTTGAATGTCAGTCCTCGTAGTAAATTACCCCTCGATGCGTGGACTTATTCAGTCTTAGTTTTAACAAAGAAGAAGATAGACGGACGCACGCGTAAATATTTTAAAAAAATTAGTTTTTATTAGACATTACGTCAATAAGTTAGTGAAATTGTGACAAGATATATAAAATAAATTAATTGCCAGTGTTTTGTACTTTCCGTCGAGTTAATTAGTCTAGTTTTCAAATTAATTGACCACGTGTTTTAAGAAAATCGTGAAGACAGTCGTAAATATTTTAAAAGAAAATATATTAATTAGACATTACGTCAATAGTGGAAATGGATCTGCTAGAATTGCCAATTGCCATTCTACAGGAAGATGGAGTGTACAATGATTTGAGTCAGCAAAATGGAGAAAATTCAGCTGCTGAGATGAGTCAACAAAAAAATAACTTCATATATGATAAAGGATTTTTCTTCTGTGGCCACTGTGGAGTACGATTCAGCACAAAGGAGGAAGTAATGCAACACATGACAATACATACAGTTCAGGATTTGAAGCGTATGGATTGTAAATTTTGTGAAGAGTAAGTACTTTGATGAAATCTTCACTTATTTATTTGTGAATTAATTACGTTTTTTTGTTTATTTCGCAGAGAGTTTATCTCAGAAGGAGCTTACACACAACATCTGAAGACTGCACATTCTAATGGTCCAGCTTTTCCGTGCAAGAAGTGCAGGGTCATTTTATCCAGCTCAAAGAAATTGAGAGATCATATGATATTTAATCATTATAGTGGCAAGCTGTTTGTGTGCAAGGTAAGAATGTTCAATATATGCTAAAATTATTGAAATTAAAAACAATTTTATTCATTTGCAGATTTGTAAAGCTCATTACAAGGACAAAAAAGATTTCATTCAGCATGAAAATTCTGTTCATTTCAACTTACCTTATGAATGTGACTTCGATGGAAAAAAATATGCAAGGAAACCTAATTTAATTAATCATATGATCACATCACATATGATAGACTTTGAGTTATTCAAATGCGAAGAATGTCCATATACATCAAAATTAAAATATCTCATTAATATACATAAGAAGACACGACACTCAAAGATTGCTTTTGCATGTTCCTATGCTGGTTGCTCATTTGTTACTGCAAACAAACTATACCTTTCGCAGCATCGATCGAAAGTGCATGATAAGAAGACCTTTGAATGAATGCAGTGAATGTGGACACAAATTCGGTTTACAAATCTGTTTAGGAAACCATATCAAAAACGGACATCAAAGTCAGCTTTTCGAGTGCGATCTCTGTGGACAAAAATTGAAAAAGAAAAATTCAATACGAGTCCATATGAACTGTGTACATTTGAAGTTAAAAGAATTTACATGTCCCATATGTAAATTAAATTTTGCTAGAAACGGTTATATGAAACAACACATTGCTATCATACATGATCGCAAGCGCAATAGAGTTGGAGTAAAGTATGAATGTTCTGATTGCCAGTTATCATTTGGCACAAAGAGAGGTAAATTATTAAAATACATTTTAGTTTAAACAAAAAATTTTAAACCTAACAATTATTTAATTTTCACATCCCTCTATAGAACTAAATCAACACAGATTACTGCATAGTAAAGGAAAAATCTTTAATTGCACAAAATGTGAAAAACAATTTGTTACTATAGGACAATTGTGTAAGTTAATTTTGTCCCAACTTTCAATAAATTAAACAGCTAATAAACAATTTATATTTTATTTAGCGTGGCATCGTAAAACTAGCCATAATAAAGGAAAATTCTTTAATTGCACAAAATGTGAAAAACAATTTGTTACTGCAGGACAATTGTGTAAGTTAATTTTGTCCCAACTTTCAATAAATTAAACAGCTAATAAACAATTTATATTTTATTTAGCGTGGCATCGTAAAACTAGCCATAGTAAAGGAAAAAAGTAAAGCAAGCAGAAGATAGATATTATCTATCGGATAGATATTATCTATCTTCTGCTTGCTTTACTTTTTTCCTTTACTATGGCTAGTTTTACGATGCCACGCTAAATAAAATATAAATTGTTTATTAGCTGTTTAATTTATTGAAAGTTGGGACAAAATTAACTTACACAATTGTCCTGCAGTAACAAATTGTTTTTCACATTTTGTGCAATTAAAGAATTTTCCTTTATTATGGCTAGTTTTACGATGCCACGCTAAATAAAATATAAATTGTTTATTAGCTGTTTAATTTATTGAAAGTTGGGACAAAATTAACTTACACAATTGTCCTATAGTAACAAATTGTTTTTCACATTTTGTGCAATTAAAGATTTTTCCTTTACTATGCAGTAATCTGTGTTGATTTAGTTCTATAGAGGGATGTGAAAATTAAATAATTGTTAGGTTTAAAATTTTTTGTTTAAACTAAAATGTATTTTAATAATTTACCTCTCTTTGTGCCAAATGATAACTGGCAATCAGAACATTCATACTTTACTCCAACTCTATTGCGCTTGCGATCATGTACGATAGCAATGTGTTGTTTCATATAACCGTTTCTAGCAAAATTTAATTTACATACAAGTGCGACTTTGATGAAAAATCCTCTCATTTTTTTAAATAAATATCTCAAATAACAGAAAACTTTGTAATACTCTCATGTTAAAAACAAATGTTTATTTAATCATTAATAGTTTCACATTTAAGTATAATAATGTCATATTTTTAAACAAACCTAATACTCAATAAATAATAAATAAATACACTTGTTTGTTTCCCACCAAATCTCCATAATCTATTTATTTCTTTTAACAATGTAAAAAACAATTTTTCCAGAGATCGAAGCCGATTTTTTCGGCTTAACTCAATTTTTTGATTTTTTTGATAGGAAAAAGCCATTTAACACCCATTTCAAGTATTAGAACTGAACTTTACATGCTTTACTATGATTCCGTGTCGTATTTTGTCAGCATGTAGCTATAGTAAGCTCAGAATTTCAAGTTAGCCGATGCTAAGCCGAAATTTAAGCCGATCGGATAATAAAATTGAGCAATAAAATACCAAACTTCAGCTCGGAGCAATAAGTTATGAATATAAATTTGCTTCCTTGCTTCAAGTTTCTTTATCTTGTGCTTTAATTACCCTTAAGAGACTAGATAATAACTAAATTGAAGTTGCTGTGTTGTTCTTGCTCTCGAATAATAATAAATGTGATTTTAAGATTTTATAAATTTATTGTGGCTGAACTACGAGTTTTCATTCATCTTATTGTGGACGTGTCACATCATCAACTTATCTCTTGATTTCAAATATTTAGTTTTTTTAAAGCTACTTCACATTTTTTTCGTCATTAAATACCTTTCTTAAAACAGTAATTTTACGGGCTGACCGACAATATTTTATTATTAATGGCAACTAATGAAAGTCATTTCACATTCTCATAGTTACGTGTTTACACAGTTGCAGAATTTTTATAACATTTTTAATATCTTGTTAAATCGAAAACAATTTTGAATGTGGCAGTTTCAAGATATAAGGTTTCTTCTGGTTAAATAACAAACTGTTTTGCTGAAAATCATTGTCAATCAGGGTTTCCTGACAAGTTTTGTATTATCTAGTAAGTGTATATAAAACCAAGCATGCTTCTGAAACTGTATCTAAAAATTGGTTTATTGCTGTCAGGTATAACTTGTTTGATTTTAACTTTTAATCCTAAGATTTAATTTTTTTCTTCTACTTTTTCAGCACAACAATTTTATTAGTCTTGTTCTCGCAAATTCTCGTCAATGTCAAAGTTCCAGCTGTAACTTATCGTAAAGGAGATGGGTTCAAGATTATTTGGTTCGAGCTGTTCAAATTATTCCCAGTTTTGCTTGCTATCGCCATTATGTGGCTAGTATGTGGAATTTTAACAGCTACAGATGTTTTTGGACCTGGAAATCCAGCCAGAACTGATGTAAGGATCAAAGTTTTAGAGGATGCTCCGTGGTTTAGAATTCCGTACCCCCTTCAATTTGGAATGCCCACATTTACAGTTTCTAGTATTCTTGGGATGTTGGCAGGTCAATAACTACCAACTTGTTTTCTTTTTGAGAAACTACTATAATTATTAATATTTTACAGGCGTTTTAGCATGTACCGTTGAATCAATCTCGTATTATCCCACGGTAGCAATTATGTGCAATGCAGCATCTCCTCCTGTTCATGCAATTAACCGCGGAATTGGAACTGAGGGATTCGGTTGTGTCCTAGCTGGTTTATGGGGTTGTGGAAATGGAACGAATACATTTGGAGAAAATGTAGGAGCAATAGGAGTCACAAAAATCGGTTCGCGACGAGTTATTCAATGGGCAGCAGTTATAATGCTTATTCAGGGTGTTTTTGGTAAATTAGGTGCATGCTTCATATTAATTCCTGATCCAGTCATTGGAGGTTGCTTTTGTGTCATGTTTGGATTGATCACAGCTTTTGGACTGTCTGCATTACAATATGTTGACTTGAGATCTTCTAGAAAACTATATATTATTGGAATCTCGTTATTTTTTCCACTTGTTTTATGTCCATGGATTCAAGACCATCCTAATGCCATCAATACAGGCGTTGAAATCATAGATTCAACTCTTTCCGTTTTATTAGGAACCACAATTTTAGTGGGTAGCGTCATTGGGTGCTTATTGGATCACATAATTCCTGGAACGAAGGACGAACGTGGAATCACTTTATGGTCGAAGGAAATGGCATTAAATACTAATGAACAAACAACTGATGAAGCTTCAACCTATGATTTTCCTATTGGAATGGAAACATTAAGGAAGTGGAAATTTACTTACTACTTGCCATTCTGACCAACATACAAAATGAAGAAATTTTAATTTTTTTTAGTACATGCTTGATTGTCGTTGTGCATTATTAAAGATAAGCTATTTTTACTGTTCCGACATGCTGATAAGGAGAAAAACATTCAGCTGTTCCTATTAAATCGGAAGCACGGTGTGCGTTGATATTTGTTGCTAATACTTACATTCAAACTATTGTATTTATGTTGTGATAATACCTAAGTACTTGCTAAAAGATAGTCAAGCGTACACTTTGTAAAATTTTGCAGTTCAAATTATTAAACTTAGTAAAGTATTATATAGTCTACTTAGTAAGATGTCAAAAAGTGTGGATAAAATAAAATTAGTTCCAAAGCACGAACATCAAAAATTAAAAGTCATTCCTAGAAAGAAATTAAGAACGCTTATCTTTTTAATTTTGGTGACACTTGCAATATTATTCATTTATACGTGTGTTCCACGTAATTTTTTAAGCATAAGTTCGTCAAAATATTCAGTTCTTAATTCCAGTTCTAGCTTAAAAGATTCAGAATCTGAAGAGTTTAATGACTATTACGACATTTTAAATGATGAAAAACCCAAAGGAACTACAGAAAGAATAAAAGAGTCAGGGAAAACCAAGAATATTCTCTTTTGGACGAGATTCTTTAATAATCCTGACTGGTATACAGGAAAAGATGAAGCAGGCGAGGAAGTTCTTAAATCTGTGCAATGTCCTGTAACAAATTGCTTCTTCACGCATAATAAAGAACTGCTTAGAGATATAAGAAAATTCGATGCTATTGCTTTTCATGGACCTGAATTTAGAAGAGCTCCACTGCCCAATATTAGAAGTCCGGAACAATTTTACATCTTTGTGTCCCTTGAGTATGTGCCTTTCTATCCTTTTGATAATTTATTGAATTTTTCTAATATCTTCAAGGTCACCAACGGCAGTGTTAGACAATTTATCAGCATATAAAAATTTCTATAATCTCTCAATGACGTATCGACTTGACTCAGATATTGAATTTGATTACGGAAAAGTTATTGATATAAAAACAAATGAAATTATTGCACCGGCTGTAAATCCGAAATGGAAAACACCTGATGAAAACTTTTATGGTAAAAACCTGAATTTAATTATTAGAATTTTATGATGACATGTCCTGGACCGCTAATGGCTATTGGCTTATTCATCAAATTAATTCTAGATGAGAAAATAATGCAAATGTTCAATACCAAGAAGAAGCCTGTTGCTTGGTTCGTATCAAATTGCTTTACACGATCGAATAGGAATAAGCTAGTTGCAGAGATCCAAAAATTCATTGATGTTGATATTTATGGAAATTGTGGAAAATTAAAGTGCCCCGTTGATGATCAGAAGTGTCTAGACATGTTAACAGCTGATTATAAGTTTTACCTTTCATTTGAGAATTCACTGTGTAAAGATTATGTGACTGAGAAGCTTTACCGACCGCTGACTCAATATATCATTCCAATTGTGTTTAATGGGGGAAATACATCAAGATTTGCTCCCCCAAAAAGCTATATCAATGCTAATGACTATAATACACCTGAAGAACTAGTTAAATATTTAAAGTACTTAATCGATAATCCCAAAGAGTATGTAAAGTATTTTTGGTGGAAACAGCACTATACAATTAAATCACATCCAACATATCAATACACACTGTGTGACATGTGTAAAAAGTTTAACAGTGAAAGCTTCATGAAAGCTCATCATCAATATGAAGACATCAATGAATGGTATAGGAACAAGGACATGTGCAATCAAAATTCTCACATAAAATTTGACAATCACTAGCTTGAAATAAAATGTTTTTATTATATTCATAAAGTTATTCCAAAAACTAAAGAGAAGAATTCATCGGATAACGATGATGTAAAGCTTATTGAAAACTCAAAAGTTAATGACTTATCTAATGATCATTATTCTAGTTTAACTTTATCTCCTACCAATAATCGAAAATCACTAAATTTACATGTTACTAAAAGAAATAAAAAAGAAAATAATAAGAAATTCATACCATTCGATAATAACGACGATTATAATCCTTTCTCCAATTTTAATTGTTGTGAATGTGATGAGAAGTTTACCAAAGAATTTCAAGGTGCTTTATGTACCGTATGTAGAAGTACTTATCATTTAGTATGTTTAAATGCATCAGAACTTGAAGATATTAAGAATCATAAATTTATTTGCCAACATTGCATAGAAAATCAGATTAGACATAATAATTTAAATGAAAATAAAAATAAAGTAAAGTATAAAGATAAAAAAAATAAATTTTCAAGCAGTACACCAAAAGTTGTACATGCTAAGTCTGATAGAAAGTCGTATAAGAAGTCAGTGATTAGTAATTACGATTCATCCAGTTCTGCATCCAGTGCTCTTATTTCATGCGAGTCTAGTAATTCCTCTGATATTGAGATTAATAGTAAATTACTTAAGAAATATCAAAAGTTGAAGAAGCTTTTGAAGAAACGTAATAAGATTCCCAAAGTCAAAATTCCACTACGCATTAGTACTGATGATGATGGAAGTGATACAGATAGCGACGACATTTCTCATGGTGATGCAATGATTGGAATTTATAAGTTAACAAAAGAAGAAAGAGATAAATCAAAATATGATAAACTTCCAATAGTTGATAATGTTGATACAAAATGGTCAGTCTTCTACGATTTATTTAAGCAGTCCAGAAAAATGTTTTCAGACTCTGAGAATGTGCTACGCATCCAGAGATCTATTAAGTCAAAAGAAATTTTAGAAATTGGAGGTATAAACCTTTTTGATCCTCGTACTTATTGGCTATCATTGAAATTAATTGATGAACGACTTGCTAAATCATTTAACTTATTATATAGAGAAACGAATGAGATAATAAAGATTAAGAAACTTAGAAATGACATTGAAAGTAAGAAGCTTATTGAATTCATTAATAAAATAATTAATTATAGTAGTATTGTTGAACGATATGGAAAGCGTAAACATAAGATGGATGAAAGAGTTATCTCACATATAGGTAACATCATGCCTTATAGCTTAGTAAACGGTTGGCATAAGATTAAAAGTAGATTAGAAGAGAAAAATAAAACGGTTTGCATAAAAAACGTTGCCGAATATCTTAGTAAACAGGTTCCTCATATAAATTCCAAGATGCAAGCAGAAGAGATTGATCCATGGAAAGAGAACAACACTAAACCATTTAAGAAGAATGATTTTCAATTTAAGAGATCCTATAACACACATAGTACATCAGATAATAATAACGACTCTATTAATTACTGTTGGATGCATAAGTCCAAAGGACATTCTTCTTTTGATTGTTCCAAATTATGGGAATCTTCGGGTAAAGAAGTTACAGAGTTAGCTCGTAGTAATGGTATTTGTACTTTTTGTGGATTAAAGAGACATAAAGATTGTCATACAGGCAAATCATTAAATTGTAAAATAGAGAATTGTAATCTTAAACATCATATGCTCTTCTGTTATAAAAGACCTGGGAAAAATTATAAGAATTTTGCCGGCTATAATAAACGTAACGATGATAAGAATATCAAGCCAAAAGTTAATAATCATGCTAAAAATTTTCGAAAAAATACTAAATCTAATGAAACAAATAATTCAAGTATGTCACATCGTCAAGATGTTAAAAATGAAAGTCCTCATCGTGAAGATGATAAAAATAACTGTAATAAAACAAAAGACTCAGATAATGAAGAGATTATTATTCCGAATTCTAACTTCTACATTAATCAGCCACCGAAAACAATGAAAGTTAGAAGAAACACTACTAACGAAAATAGGAATAATCATATTTCAAATTTAAATATTATAAATCGCAATCAAACAATCAGATGCGAATTTTTCCATAATCACAATTCATTAAATAAAGTAACAAGATCCTCCTCAAGCATTCTTGGCGTTCTAGTAATTTGTTTTGTTGAAAGTAATGAAAAAGTTGCTTTATTAATGGATAGCGGCAGTACAGTAAGCATATTAGAAGAAAGTATGGCGAATAAGTTAAGCCTGCCTAAAAGGTATTTGGAGTCCGCTAAGACTAAATTGGTCTAGCGATGTTAATCGAATTGATTATGCTTCTCGTATCATTAAAGTAAAAGTTTCTGGCACTGCCCCAAAATCCAATATACATGAAATATACTTAAGAACAGTAAAGAACTTAAATATTATAGACCAGCCATTTGATGCAGCAGAAATAATCGATGTATTTCCATATTTAGCTCCGATGCACTTAACTTCCTATTGCAGAGTATATGGAATTATTGGGATCGATAATTTATGGTGTTTTAATCAACTTAAAACATTTAAGACAAATAATTGGAACTCTGGAATGCCGTTTGGTATTCGTTGTCCTCTAGGTGACTATGTTGTAGGATGTTTCCATCAATTAGAAGACTTATATAATTTCTTAAAAGACAACAATAATAATAATCAAATTGTCGCTACTAGTTGTAGTATATATAATACCAAATTGACAGAAGAAGAAGAAAAAGAACTAGCATTTATGGAAAAGATTGTCTTAGGCATGGAATATAATTTATTAGATGTTAATGATAACAAGTCATGCGATGATACTTTAGCACTTGATTTATTAAATGAATATGTGAAACGCTCTGATAATAATGTTAATTTCGAAGCACCATTGCTATGGCGCAATGTTGATATTACTTTACCTACCGAAACTTCATTTAAAATAGCTTACAAACGACTATTAATTGTTGAGAAAAAATGCAATAAAGAATGATAGATTTAATGAATGTATCGAACAAGTTGAAAACTTGTTAAATAAAAATTATGCAGAAATTGTTCCCCCAAATGAAATTAATTCTTCAGGTGGAAAGGTATTTTACCTTCCAACCTTTTTTATACAACCAAAAAATAAACGCACCCGTTTTATCTGGGATGCAGCTACAAAAGTTGAAGGAAAATCACTGAACGACTTTCTAGTCTCTGGTCCAAATATGTACAATAATTACCTGCAAATCATATTGCAAATGAGAGAAGGAAG